CGTCGCCGGCCCTCTTATTTTTTAATTAACCACCGACAAGAACCGGCAAATTGATTTCCGCCGGGCCGGCGATCGCTTTACACGGTAACACGCTCTTCGGCCGGAGACGACCCGAGTGCGGTGCGTGTCTCGCCCGCGTACGCGGAATGTATAATGCGTTTCGAGCAGAAGCTCTCGCGGGTGGCGAGCCAATCCGGACCAATTAGACGGTCCAGCTCTCCTCCGGGTGGACGCAAGCTCATCGGTGACGTCATCGGGATCAATCGAAGAGTCAAGTCGCCGTAATTGCGACAATCTTGGACGCGACTTGCTCGTCGCGACCCGCTCGCGTTCCTGCCTCCCGGATGGGAAATCCAATTATTTCTCATTTCTTTTTTTTTTTATCAATTTTAATTTCTCGACACCCTTCGCTCGGATTGTTGGTAACGCGTCGAGTATGACCGGCATCGGTAGCCCCGATGATTGATACAATTGAAATAAACAAATGGAGAAAGAATAAGTCGACAATAGTAATTGATACCAAACTGATGGGAGATGATTTTTTTTTTTTCTTCTTTTCACTTTGTTCACTTTCATCTCGTTTGAGCTGTGGAGGGGAGTAAGCGTTTTTCTATGCACCTCGATCTTCACGGTGTTATTCCCGGCCGATTGTTAATTAGTGAGGGGCATCGCATGCCGGGGGAATTGAAAGCAGTTGTAATAATTCCATTATCTTATGGTCGAGAAGGGATGCGACTTTTTCCTCCTGATTTACGGTAATCTCGGCAAATGCAGCCGTATGTATGCGCAGCGTGCAAGTTCTAGAGCGCAGTCACGCAGAGGGGCAAGAACTGCATTAAGCCAGTAGCGCATTGCCTTTCTTTCCTTATTGCAATTCTTCAGCCAGCATGTCCGATGTTATTCTTGTATCGGCGACCCGTCGAAGCCGTTGGTATGTACGCAGTCGTATGGCACGTCTCACATATTCCGCTAACTTTTTATTCCGGGAATATTGGAAAGTTTTGGCAAGCCGCCCCGTGGGACTTCTCAGCTGGGATGTTCATTCCCATGTCCTTGTACGGATTGTCTCGGAAAAGGATTTAAAAACGTATGCATATACAAATAAAAATGACCGGCTTGATCCACCTCGATGTAGACGGAGGGAGTATCGTACGCCTTTCAGTTTTTCCAACAATTTATCAAATCGCCATGACCAGAGGGAGCGAAAACAAGACTCGAGAGAGCCAAAGAGGATTACCGCTGAATGTGCCCGTTGTCTTTAACTGTCGAGAATTAAAACCGCTTCCTCTTCTCGCAAGAAGGAGGAGGATCAAAGGAAACTGATCCTACAGGAGCGAGTAACATGCCAGTGGTTTGTCGAAGCCGCTCTCCGTACGCAAACGCCTTCTTGCACCTTAACTTAACACCTCCGTACGTTGCATTTCCGTTTAACACCCCTTATCTTCCTCTTCAGTCCACTGCTGCAGGTGAATTCTCATTTGCGGCGGTTCGACTTCTCCTAAGTCGAAGACCGCAAACTCTGACAATGAACTCGAAGTTCATTTTGTGGATTAACTAAGTGAGCCGGTATCTTCATCCAAGACCTGTTTAATACTTGTCCAGGTACCGTTTAATTTCATTCACACCTATTCAGGTGAGCGAAAAAGGGGATTAAAAAAAAAGGGTCAAGGTGAATCTCCACCTGCAGCTCGTGCTTTATTCTCGCCCAGGTAAGATGGAGTCGGTAAATCACCTGCCCGAAGCCTCGTAGGGTTCGGCTCGATTTTACACCGTCAAGGCTCAAGCCTAGAGTCAACGACACAATTGATTCATTACGAGGGCACAAAAACTCCTCCGAAAGGACCGCGACGAATCATTCATGGCTGCCAGAGCAAATGACCGCCAGATCCTCTCCATCGAGGACAGGACTCGGGTAGTCACTTCTTTTCGTCCTTTCTCTTCGTCCAGGACCACGGCGGAGAGTGCCATTTCGCGGGAGAAAGTTAAAACTAATTAAACTACGGCGAGTCGTTTAGAACGATCCAACTTCTGGCTGGTATATAAACGCTTGTTAAACGCGCTCTTTGCTGCGTGGGTTAACGTCGGCCCACAAGCGCGAAATCACAGCCAGCTCGACGATTGTTTTGGCAGCGTTAATAACAGTTATAAATGTCTCTCGGCCTTGCGAGTTTCTCGACATCTCCGTTTCCCCCCGCTACTCGAGATCCGTATCGGATCGCCAAGGACTGGAAGGCCGTTTATCTAGTGAGAAAATGCCACTCCGTTGAATGGGTCTCCGGGGAGAAACGATCCTTATCCCTGATTACCATTGAAAGAATATTTTCCCTGCGACCTGTCATACAACATCGCAACAATTATACTCTGGCATGAAAAAAATCTTTCCTTCGGTTCACGTAGAAATCTCAGATTTTTTTATATACGCTCCGTAACCTCATTCTTAACCCTCCTTTCCTCCTTGTTCATTCTACGTTTTAGGAAAAACAATATACGTGGATTTCTATACGGAGCGCCGATTTTCTCGAGTTATCCCGGAAGTAGCAACGATCTGCTGGAAGGGTAGAAATATGTTTCTTTTTTTTTCTTTTTTTTTTCTTTGAAAGAACCGCGACGGATCGTTCGGCATCGCGTTTATCGCGGGTGATTCTGTGACCCCCCTTTATCAACGCACGGATCCGCGAGGGGATCTTACGGGGGCTTTCTTGTCGAAGCCGGGGCGAACGATCGCTCGCCCATGACGACGCAACCAGGAAGTCGAAGAAATAACAGATATCGGCCCTCGTGCGACGAGGGGACGCTTCTTTTACGAGGATGGCAACGCACCCCGCGAGCTGCGAGCCGCGACTCGTTCCGCCAGCGAGCCGTCACGCCGCGGTAGTTCGATCGCTGCTTCGCCGAGGATTAGCTACCACCGTTTGCTTTCCTAGATCGCGATAGAACGGAAGCAGGGAGAACTGGCTTGGCGTAAAAAGAGTCGCGACGCGAGAAAAAGGCTGGGATTTTTTTTTTTCTAATTTTTTCCTCCCCATTTTAACATTGCGACGATTTGATGGGAGGAGAGGAAATCCTGCTCCGTTTGGGATCCCATTTGGTTCAAGCGTCCTCGAATTTGCCTAAAAGTTTCATAATATCCTTTGGTACAAGCGTCCTCGAATTTACCTAAATGTTGCATTGTATCATTTTGTTCACGCGTCCTCGAATTTGCCTAAAAGTTGCACATTGTCGTTCGGTTCCCGGATTGTGGATCACTATCCATGATCTCCCTGCATCTGCCGTCACGGCGCGGTAGTTCGATCTCCGCTTCCACCAAGGATTAGCTTCCACCGTTTGCTTTCCGAGATCGCGATCGAGCGGAAGCAGCGGTAACAGGCCTGGCGTAAAAGGAGTCGCGACGCAAGAAGAGAGCACCAGGCTTTTTGCATTTTTTTTTTCCCCTCCCTTTAGAGTCTCGCGATCGTTTGGTGTAATGGCGAGCTGGAAGAGCGACGTCGCGGTCGGGCAGGGACACCGAGTAAATATCCTGAACGAGGGAATAAATATATCCTGAATTTGGAAGTTAAACCTCGAGTAAGATTAAATCTTAATGGGAGGAATAAAATGGGGATCGGAGGAGTAAAAGAAAATCACTCTTTCATCCTAAACCTCTTGAACGATCGGCCTATTGCATTTGCGTTTATCAAGAGTTTCTCTTCTTTTTCGATAAAAAAAAAAAAAGAAACACATCCAGGTGAAGAGTTCAGAATCTTTATGAAGATCGTATCTTTCTTACGATCGCAAGAGAAATCACGGCCGATCCTGTTTTACGACGTGGATCGCCTAGACCTGTATAGGTCCGATTAAAGTGCATTTTCTGCAGTTTCATTGCTTCCTTTCCGAGAATGCGTTATTCAGCGAAGGATTCACGGAGGACACGTACTTCTTACGCGAACGCTTCCGCGATGCGCTAATGCAGGGATAAATCACACTCGTTGACGCATCGATACGCCATCTGTCGATTCGCGATGCGATGAAAGCTCGACAACCTCGAAACTGGGAATGCGGCAAGGTCTGAAGATAATCCATTACCCACGAAGCGGAGGGTCACAGTCACACATTACCAGGATGGAACGGATGTTAACACATTAGCGACCGGAATATTTTTTCCGCATCAAATACCGAGTATCGGCGAAAATAATGAAATTCTGAAACTGGTTGCCGCAAACTTCTATCGCGTATCGTTATGGACGTGATTCACGTCAGCGGCAATCAGGAGGTGGAATTTAAAATGACGTGAATTCACGTCAGCGGCATACCAGGAGTGGAATTTAAAATGACGTGAATTCACGTCAGCGGTCGCGAGTGTGTTAAGCTTTCGCGAGATGGACGTCGACGCTGTACGAGACTCCTAACTTGCGGTAGAAGACTCGTTGCCATTTTTGGTAGTCGCAACTCGCTGAGAAGTATCCCGCGAGTCCGTGCACCGAGACCCGAAGAGAGTAGAAAACATTCCGCATAAAATAGTTTCCAAGAACATATATCGTGGGAAGCACAATTAATCGAGTCTCATCGACGTCGCCCTGTTAAATGACTTTTACATTCGGTCAAATGTATTTTTTTTCTTCTTCTAATTTACCCTCAACATAACCACGAGAATAATTTCCTCGGGTCTCACCCGCGAGTACGCGGGATTTAATTCGAGGTAAAAATCCGCGGTTCTCTTCCATTCCGACGTAATGAATAAATTTAGTAGGTAACCTCTTTTCCAACCGTCTCCGTATTCATGAAGTGTTTAAATATAGCCATCTGCTCCCCTCTCCCCTTAAGCTCTAATTCATATTCGTGGAACAGTTTCGCCGCTAAACGGAGTTTACGCGTATACAAGCTAAGCCGTATATAAAAATCTGGTTCGTACACGGGACAATGCTACAATTAAATACCCAGGATCTAATTACTCCGGTAACCCATCGCTAAGCATCGGATGTCTCGTCGAGATCGCAAATTAAAACCGGTGGTTTTGCTTCCAGATGGAGAACCAGGGATACGAGGAGGACTCGGCTTCGCCTTCCCTCGGGTTCCCGGCGTCGCGCTCGCCCGGCGGCTCGGCGACGTCGAGCGTAGACGCTCACGTCTACGAAGACATCGGCTCGGGCTCGGACGGGGAGGCTGGCTGCGCGCCTCGTCCGCTCCCAGAGCGCGTCTCGCCGCGCGAGCCGGTGGATCGCGCGAGTGGAGCAAAAACCGAGGAGCGCCGCGGCTCGGAGGAAAACCCGGCGCTGGCGCGTCAGTCGAGTGCGCGCGCACCGCCGCCGGGCCCGTTCCACCGTACGTTGACGCTACCCCTGCAGAGGTCACGTGACGTCGGCTTGGCGGACCAATCAGCGCGCGCCTCTATGCGGGTGACCAATCAGGAGCGGCTGGGGCGCTCGGCGGCATGCGGGCCCGCGGTTCCGGTACCTGCGGGCGCTTCTGACGCGCCACTCGCGGCCGACCGGTCGCGGAGCGCGGAGCTCCAAGATGGCGACCCGAGCGCCGCGCTGCGGCAGAGCAGGCGACGCAAGAAGAAGGACTGCAAGCATTGCAAAAACAAGATGAACGCCAATTACGTCGAGGACGCGAGGCGCGCTCGGTTCACCTCAGTGCAAGAGGGCTGCGACTCCCGCCTCGGGGACGACGTTCCCTTGCGAAACGATGCCAAGGGGCCCTCGCAAGCGCACCCGGTGCAGTCTATGCAGCCACTGTTCGTCCTGCCGAACGGCAGGCTGCCCGACTTCGCCGCCGCGGCCGTTCGGACCCCCATGCCAAAGTGCTCCGTCGCCAATAACGCCAACTCCGTATTCTCCGTTTCCAACAATGTAAATAGTACCCATCGGGCCTCCGCGAAGGCCCTCAATTATAATAAGAACGATATAGAGGCCAGGCTCGCCAATGTCGAGGTCTGCGAGGACAAGGCCCTCATCACGCCCGAGAAGAACCGAGGCGGCATGAAGGTCAACTCCATCTACTCGCAGGAGCACTGGAGTCTCAAGGAGGCGCCTATATTTATTACGGATCTTAAGGAACAAGGCCCTTTTCAAGTGAGTACATCCACGCGGAGTGAGTTTACGCGCGCGAACGGGACCGAACTATGAAAGCCTCGGTAAATAAGGGTTATGAGCGCGATTGTTTTATGGAACCCTGGGTTGCGGGCGTCGCGGTTGTTACGAGGCTTCAGGCCCTCGAGGTCGGCGCTTCTTGCAGTTTTACATGTTCCCGGTTCTCCATCCCTAATTACCGAACGGTAGGATGGTTGTACCTTGCGAGGGGCGAAAATCCCGGATGTGTGCACGATTATTTCGTTGACGGAGAATTTGGTTAGCATTTTTCCCCCGCTCCTCATATGGCCTCCAGGAAGTTGAAGCCGACAGGAACAACGACACTGTTCGCTGTACCGTTTGCGTACTGTTATTAAATTCGAAATCGGTCAAGCGGGCCGCGTACCCTCAGCGTAAACTGTCACGGCAACGTAGCGCAGTTTCGCACCAGCACCGCCAGAGGGAGGGTCGCAAAATCGTCGGGGGTCCCTGACGCGGTCTTTCCCGCAAGCGAGTCGTCACGCGGCCCTTTACATAAGCTCGCTCGCCGAGGACCAAAGCATACTTACCTGGCGCAGAGGTTACCGTGATCATTAAGGCGGTTCCTCCAGGGCGAGGCCTCACCATTGCACCTCGGTTAGGCTGACCCTTGCGAATGCCCCTAAAGTGGGTATCTCGGGCGTATAATTTTTGGTAGTCGGGACTGCGTACGCGCTGTCCCGAAATAACAATTTAAAAAAAATAAGGAAATTTTCCCAGTGAAAAAACGTCAAGTTACGATGTTAACGACCCTCTCGTTAACAATGAACTGCCGCTACTTTCATATCTTTTTAGTTTAAGAATTTGGGGAAATGCGATGGAAGGATGCTAAATAAATTACGGACGGGGATATCGGTGTTTGCGGGACGATATAAAATTTGCAAAAGCGCGTTTTGTGTGGCTTTTCATTTTGCATGTACTCCTCCCCCCCTTCCTCCTGATTGCTCTCTCTTCTTTTAATCTTATTTTGCATCCGCGGGACGGAATGAAGTCTTTATGCGTCACGGTGGAGGAAGGGTATTAGCTTAAATTGCGTCGTGTACCCCGTCTCGCGGCGGCGCGCGTTTATTCTCGAATTAATAATGCACGGGGCCTTACGTGTCCCGAGATTGTAACATCTTGCAAGAACGGGAGGGAATGCACATTCAATCGCGATAATCGTTCGACGCGATCCCGTATACGAGCCTCCACGCGTATTTTCGCCGTTTCCACCGGGCGAAAGGGAAGATCAACGGTCGCGGACGTTGTCATTGGCCGTGTTGCGATGTACCTCAGCTTAATCCGCGAGAAAAGCCCGTCGGAATCGCGTACTAGAGGCCATTACAGCGATTTTTCTCCGGGCGTCTCGCTCAGGTCCTACCCGGGTTTTGCAAATGGCGGCCGCGCGACTTTGACCGCCTCGCGATTTCGGCTCGAGGCGCGACAAAAGTCTGTCGAGATCGTCCGCAAAGGCCTTCGGGGGCGAAGCTCTCTAACCGGACTAGCAGTTATCCCCGTTTCGCAGATGGCGGCCACGCGTCTTTGATGTCGCGCGAGAGCCCCCGGGCACTCAATCAGCTCCAACTTCAGAGAGTGTTTACACCGCCGATCTTAATTATAAGCGGGGCTCCGCCACCTCCGGCGTAATTTGTCGCCCCGAGAGGGAGGTAAGCGAGGTCGAGGATGGTTTTAGATGCGGCACCGGAAACCCTCCTCTGGACCGCTCTAGATACCATATGTCCGTCTAACTTCTTCCACCTGTCGCGTCTTAGGGTCTGCGACGGAAACCGGCGTTTATCCGCTCGCCTCGTAGAAAAAACTACTCGACTCCCTTCGCCCGGTGTTACAGAACGGTATCATCATTCAAAATGATTCGACGAATACCGTTCACCGATTCCATTCCTCGGGGGCGTGATATACGAACAGGTGCATGGGAGGGGACCTTGGAATTAATTCCTTTAAAGAAACTGCGATATCGATGTCATAGGTTAGGTCACGTGCTAAAACGAAACTGACGTACTGGAATAATTGATACGATTGAACACGTGATTATGCAAGCCCTAAGGAAGAACGCGATGCTCGTGAAATTTCATGTTTCACGAAAAGAAAATGTCTTTTTTTGTTTCGTACTTGTCCGAGATAAATACAATTTTTTTCTTGCTGATAATAAAATCTCACGAGCATCGCGTTATTGTTTTCTTTCTTTCTTTCGTTCGTCACGTTGAAAGTAGTCGAAATAAAGTGTTTTTCTTTTTTCGCCGAAAATAGCGCTCAGCTGTGCCGTCGTTTTCGGCCGATCGGGTGGATGATCGGAGGCACGTATAACGAGCGAGTTTGTCGTTAGAAGAGCCGTTAACCGAAGACGTCGCGATCGCGTCTTCTCTTTGGAAGTCTATTTTCGGAACGGAGGATGTACGGATGGGTCGATGGGTCGAATAAAGGCCCGAAATTGTCGGTGAAGTCGAGAGTCGCGGTGAAAGGTGTTCAAAAGGGCTCGATTAGGGCCTTCGCGTACGTAGCCGGAAACGTCGCTTTCCGCCTCGGTGACATGTAACGATACGAGTTTAGGTCGCCTGAAATTACCGCCGATCCACGTATCACGCTTGTCAAGGGGGTATCTCGAAAGATCTTGGAAATTTACGTCGCGTTTAGCCATAAATTCGGGGTTACGTCTCGGTAATTGTCCGGAAGTGCTTAAGGACGTATTCTTCGGGCTGGTTCTCACCTCGTTATTGCTTCGAGTATTCCTTAATAACGCATCACTTTGTTACGCGTTATTATGGCGAATTTCCTGTAATCAGCCCTCATTTGGCAATTAAGGGCCCCTCGTCGCCGGAAATGCCGCTTGGATTTTCGCCGCTTTCCCTGGGTCGAACGTGGCGGCGTCTCGGGGAGCGACGCCATCTTGATTTTCAAGACTCAGCTCGACGGCGACGCGATACCGATTATATACCTACCCGATACCGGGAATACTGTCTCCTCTAAACTCGTCCAGCCTTTCGGAAGCCAAGTGCCAGATATGCCCCTCCCAGTCTAGCCGCTTTTCGAGACTTCGCTTCTTCGCGTTACATTTGGACGCGAACTCCTATTCCCGTTGTCTGAGCGCCATGCGCACAAAGGCCGCGCGGAGTTGCGATTTCTCGTTGCGTTTTTATTTCTTAAGTCCTAATACGTATTTTCGTGGCAGTAGATTCGTTGGCAAGTTCCAAGGAAATGAAAGGATGAGTACTTGTCGGTAATTTCATCACGTGGAGTCGTCGCGGTCAATTGCGAAGGGTCTTCGGGTGGGCGCCGCCATCTTGGTTTTCGCAGCCCCGCGATACGGATAATGTCTGCCGCGGAGTCGGGATTTCTCGTTGTGTTTTTATTTCTTAAGTCTTAATACGTATTTTCGTGGCAGTAGATTAGTTGGAAATGTCGAAGGAAGTGGAAGGATGAGTACTTGTCGATAATTCGGTCACGTGGAGTCATGCGCGGCCAATCGCGAGGCGTCTTCGGTGGGCGTCGCCATCTTGGTTTTCGCAGCCCTGCGATACGGATAATATCTGCCCGATGCCGAGAATTATGTCACCTCCAAACGCGTGCAGCCTCTTAGAAGCCGCGCACGGCCTCTCTGATGCCGTGCCAAGTACGCTTCTAGTCTCCCCCGACGTCGGACGCGCCGCTTTTGCGCGCTTTCGCGACTTTACTCGTTACAAGACATACGGGGACGTTAAAACTCGCGCCGTCTGCGCACCGAGTGTGCGCATAAACGCAGAACCGGAACCGACGCGGTCCGTGTAAACAGCGCCAGAAGTCTCCCTCCTCGCTCTCGCATTTTCACTCTCAAACTGGGTGCAGGTAACTTTTGCAAAGATCAATTAACCGCAGCCGAATAAAAAAATGTAATACATATATCGCGCGATAATCCATATATTTTTTTTTATGTTCACATAAACTCTCAGAGAATTTCTCGGCGAGCCGAAATTTATACTTCGGAAGATTTGAGCGGTATTATTGAGATAACGATTTCTTTGCGACATTCGGTCAGTCGATTCTGAGAAATTAATTAACGGGGAAGGGGTTACCTGCAGCCAATGCGACGCACATCGCTGGGCATGGACTAATTAATGCGGTGTATAGACTGATTAATGCGGTGCATTGAACTTAGGAAGCACTTCGTCAATCTCGAAACCAGATGTGCCGCTCCGATCCGTGTACTCTTTTAGCCCGGACGTATTTCATTCTGATTAAAATTAGACTCTTTCCGTGCTGTTTTTTTCTTTTTCTTTTTTTTTTCTCTATCTTCCGAGACTTCAGCGCCATGGTTAGCGCGGTGCGAGCGAACGTCGCAAGATTTCGGAGTCAATCGATGCAAAAGGTCTGAAGATCTCGTAACATTCGACGACTTTGTTTTAAACATCGCCACGCCGTGTTAACGTTATCTGAAAGACATTTCTCATAAACTAAAATTTGCTATCCTTAATATTTTGTCGATGTATTAGTTTAATCAAGCGGTTCTCTTAAAGCTTACGGAACGAAATGTCGCACGTACTAGTAAATACTAAATAGTAAATTATATACAAGTCGAGGATTTATGGAGGAAAAAAAAAATGATAATCTAATGTGTCACAATGTCTCAATATTATCAACCTTCAACTCGATATCTTCTTCCGCGCTTCGTCAGTGCCGATTTAATCGTACAGGTGATTAGATAGGGTGACTCGGCAGGGTGCATTCGAGATTTTCTTTTTGCCGTTTTAGACATCGACGGAACTCCGCGTCTTATCACTGATCCGATTCCCCTTTCAATAAAGACAACAGGCTCGTCGCGAAGCGAGAGCGAATGTGAGACTTTTGGCGCGCAAAGAAATCGTCAAACATCAGTACAAAGGGGAATGCTCCATCAATGGCCGAGGTTAAAAAAGCAGTTCACTTCGGGAATTAAACGTTGCTTCGATAAAAAGACATAAATTGCTTCCGAAAATGCGAAATCCACCCGACGAGAACGATTGCGGGGGTGCGATGATAACGGCGGCGGAACAAGTTTCATTATTGGGGAGAATAGTAGAGGGGGTCCATCCTTACACCGATAGGGTAGAAGGGGTTAAATCCAACAGCATAGTAAGTCATGTCACATTTTCTGTGAATAAACATTTTCCCATAAAAAAAAAATAAAAATAAAAAACAATCGGAGAGGCAAGCACGACCGATCAGCGTTCGCCACGGCGGTAACGATTGTTAAGACGTGATTAATTGTACCGTAGGGTGATGTGGATTAATTAAGGAGTAGATTAGCATATGTAGTTCCCTTATTTTGTGAACGACGGAGGGATAATGGGATATTTGATATTTCAGAGGGCCTATTCCCTTCCCGCGAGGACGCACACCCCGTCCTCGGAAAATCGTCTGAACCTTCGACGCAGCGTCAGAGGGGAACCTCCACCTCACCCTGCGAGGCTTCGGAAACATCGTCACGGATGGACCCTCCACTTCGCAAGGCCACTTCACGAGCCTGGATGCACCAGGTCGATCGTGATGCTCCTGCTCGTGGTCCTAGCCCTGCTCACAATCGGTGGGATCGCACTTTACATAGTTTTCGGTGAGCCGCTCGAAGACGCATCCATATTCACCCCTCCCCTAGTAGCATAGAATAATTTATAAATATTTCTTTGTAATCATTGCTAAATATCTCAAGCGACAGATTTCATATGATTTCTTGTAGATTTCGTTCGAAGATATCCGAAATTATATTTTTTAATTTATGAACACATTGTATTAAAATGATACGAAATGTTTTGTATATCTGGTAGAAAAATGTTATGAAAACACGTGGAGCTAGTATTATATAAATATAATAGGGATAATATTCTGAAGTAAACGTTTTGCAAATATTTCCAAATGTAGGATATTCGTTAAATATACAGGAAATATAGGACAGATATTTTGTGCTACTAGGGTCCTTGAATCTTATCTTCAATGAGAACATGCCGACGAAACGTTTTCGCCCTTTCTGCCGAATTACACATTTCTCTGTATTTTCTACGTGATTTTGGGTATGTCGTTCGACTCTCCATTTCCAATTTATCCACTATTGGAATTTCATCTTCGATAGGATAAGGCAAAAGAGTCCTTATCGACGACGCTCTCAGCCACCCGATCGCAGGGATTCGCTGGACCGCAAAATGCCGCGGATCCAGATATACCGAGTGAAGAGATCGTCCTCATAGAATGAGTGTCCCTCGCGAGTAAAGAGCACCCTCGGATTCGTCGGCGGGCGTAGGCAGCAATTTGCAGTAAAATTAATTGAAATTTTTATTGCCCGTCTCCCTGCCCGGGCTCGGGCTTTGACGGCGCGCGGCGCGAATGGACGGCGCGAAGCCGCGATGCAAAAAGGCCGGAGGGATGCACGCCTTGAGTTCCCTCCGCAGGTCTTTCGCGTACCTTTTTGCATCCCGGCAGGTCCCCGGGACTTGGAATATCTCTCCGGCGACCCTGGCCGTGTTCCTCCTCTTCGGAGAGCCCTGAATATCGCGACCGTCCCGCGTAGCGCCCTCCGAAACGCTCTTCACGGTTCGCACCACCGTGAAAACGGGGATATATCCCGGTCCCGGCGATTACGCCGATGTTTGCCGAGGAGGTGCCTCGACTTTTTGCCTCCCAGAGGGGAACCGGCCACTTCGGAAGGGGATACCGGCATGGTTCGAAGCTTCTACCTCGGATTCTCGGTTTTTCTTAAGCCTCCGCTCGGGACGAGACAATCCAATTACGACCTGGGGACTAGGGCGAAATTGCGGGTAATTGTCCTCGCGAGATCGCTAACAATTCTCCGCTTCGATTAATTGATCCTCCCCTTAGTCCTTTATACGCGAGGCATATAAGAGGCTCGAGAGAGAGGCGAGTCTCTATCGTCCAGATACCGTGGCTGGAATTATTTGAGATAGGTCAGTAGAGGATGCGATACTAGAGGGGTATCGAGGAAGCCATCTTGGATGTACACAGCAGAGATAGTCCGTCCTGTTGCTTATTTCTTCGGATCGACTCCCCTAACGAATGCGTTGCGAAGGGTCTTGGTACACCTGCTCCGTTTTTATTTTAATGAAAGATCGTGCCAGTCGGGTTACTCAGGTGATTTTCATGTTTTCAGAGCCGGACAAGCTGCAGATCATTCAACAGTACCTGAGGTCTTCAGCTGGGAACGCGACGGCCTCGGTGAGGAATTCCTCGGAGGTCGAGCTCGTTTCGGAACCGCTGAACGACACCTCGTCCTTCCCCGGCGCCTCGTTGAACGCCAGCCAAGCGTTTCCGGAAACCACGTTGCCGCCGGAAACGGATGCGGAGGGCACGCGGACCGAAATAAAACCGGAGCCGAACGCGACGAGGTACTGCGACGATTGCGTCGCCGGCGAGGTATGCGTCGCCCGCGTCGACGAGGAGGTCCCCACGTGCAGAGCGGGCCCCGATCCCGCGGATCCCACGGGATGTGCCGGTCTCTGTTTAATCAATAAGCAAAAGTGCCATCGATTGGACGTGGACGCGTTCAGGTTAGTCGAAAACGCGGATTAAGTTTCCCCGGGTGGAAGTTTGCAGGTGTCGCGGGAGATTTGGGTCAAACTCTAGATTGGATAGCACTAAACGTCCATCCCTTTAGAAACCCGGCGTCAAATCGACATAGGTTCGTATCTGCGGATGATAGCATCGTTTCGGGGCTATCGTTATCGGAGGACCCTAATCCAAGGGCGAATTGGTGAGCCGTTGCAGTCTTTCCCTCCTCTCTTGCGAATCTTATCAGATGGATCTCTCTCTCTTCTAATGGCAAGGCTAATCAAAGCTCATCCTGGCAAGTTGATACCGTAAGAGCTGGTATTTTAAGCCTTTGATTAAGCGTTACCCATGATTAACGTCCGCTTGATATCGGAAATGATATGCGGATAGTTGGAACGATGCTACCTATGACCCCGAGGGACCGATTAATCGTTAATCGTCTGCAAGGTTCCAACCGCTGAAAATTGATACTTTGATTGTTTATCACGTAAAGTGGAATTGTTTTTTTTTTTAATTCATTGTCGGTGGTTTAATTGCTATCCTCGGATTTTAGGTGCGTCGAGGTCGAGCATTATTGCCTGGACGACGAGTGGACGTGCTCCAACACTCTCTGCATCCCGTTGACGAGGCATTGCGACGGTCACATGAATTGTTACGACCACTCGGACGAGTACAATTGCGGTGGGTCGACAAATGTGAAAGGACGGTTCGGCGTGATCGAGCTTCTTTCGGAGCTCGGGAAATCGCGGCCAGAAGCCTCCTCTGCCACGACACTATTCCAGTTCCTATCTATGCCCCTCCATTATTGGCTTTCCTACTTTGCGTCTCTTTGTCCGGCTTCCGTTTGCGATTTTTTTTTTTTTTATCACACTCGCTGCCACCGGTCCTCTCATCGGGTTGTGTTACTTACGGACGGCCTGTGCGAAGGTTGCGTGAGCACGGCCAGGGGGAATCGAATACATAACAATTGAATTATGAGAGGGTCGCGAGGGACCGATATTGCGATACGACAAAACATTGCAACTTGCCAAGCATTCATTTCGAAATAATACCGAAATCCCGGCGTCTACTTATCTTGTAAGATACCCCTGACAGGACCGCGGTAAAAAATGAGCAAACGAAACGGAAGAATCGAGTCAAAGGCGCGACGCAAACGCAGCAAAAGGGAGGCTAATAATGAAGTGCCCCGTTTTCTTCATTCAATGTGACGAATGGTGTTTTTTTTTCCTTTCTTCTTTTATAGCCTGCGACTTCGAGACGCACTTCCAGTGTGGAAATGAGACCTCCTGTCTTCCTCTGGACAAGAGATGCGACGGCAAGATCGACTGTTGGGACGCGTCCGACGAGATGAACTGTACCGTAGGTACGAGATCTTCTCAAGATACGAGCACTTCTCACCGTGTACTCTTAATGGGGCAATTATCCGCGTATAGTATCTCCATGGAGCTTCGTTTGCACACACGAGTACTCGCAAATTGTCTTAGCTCACTTGTCACTTGCTCTCACCGTGGGCCTTTCGCTCCTATCGTAGGTAGATCATTCTCTGAAAGGAATCTCTCCACCGGCCTAGTTCGTATCACATTGTCAAGTGCAGGGATTTTAATTTCTCCATTTGCGTTATCTTACATGCGTTAAAGAACGAGCATGTAGCATCCTAACGTTCTCGTTCTGGACCCGAAAGTCCAGGTGATGGCGATGACGAGTACTTAATTCCTTTTCCTTAGAGGGAAAGTATTCGCGAATTCAGGATTTTGTCTCTTCTGGATTCATGAATTGCGCTTTGCATTAAGATCGGCACATTTCCTGAGGTTCCATCGGTGTACAGAGAAAAATCTCTTGCCGGAGGCACCTCGGATAAAGGTTCCCCTCTCCTGGCTAAAGTGTTCTTTTTCTTTTGTAGGTCAGGGTCTTGATTGGTGTGAGTACACATTATTGTTTTCTTTCGACTGCATGCCAAATCTTGCACGTACCCTCGCAGTTATGAGTCGCTAATATGTCGACCTCTGTCCTTGGCTGGAGGAGGTCGCGTTGCCACAGCTTATTGCGTTTCCATGTAAGCACATCATTCTCGTTGACTGCTTCCTCTGAGATTCTCACGCACGTTGACGCAATTTTCTTTACCGCTCATTGTTCTCTCGCCCTTCGTTAGTTCGTTCATCCTTTGTCCAAAGTATCATCCACACAGCGCGTAATCACACGATGGACGTCAGAGATACGAGACAAAGAATCTCGTTTTCTGAACCTATTAAACGAGTAATGTCAACCTTAACCTGGTCATAGAGATCGGAACATTTTTTCGGCGTTTTTTTTTAAGCTACGAACGAAACCGATCGGTACATTTAATACAGATGATGTGCAAATTTAAAAACACTTTCACATCGCTTGGGTTGCTCGAATTGTTTCCGCCGATAGTTAATATCCTCGAGCGACTTACATCGTGCTGGGTGGATTATCGAATAGTTACTAATTATTTCGCTGCTAAATTAAATGCAAGCTTATGCTAGTCAGCAAGATCTTTGGACGTACCAGCTTGCGATAACGAAGGCAAAATGTACTGACATAGAAGAGAAGCTCATGTTTTTTTGTTCCTTTTTTTTTTGTTAAATTACAGCTTGTCCCTTGGAAAGTGAGTTCACTTGTAGCAATGGGCAATGCATACTTAAGGCTCGATTCTGCGACGGATTAGCGGATTGTGCCGACAAATCGGACGAGCCCCAAGGATGCCAAGGCAGATGCAACCAGCATGAATTCACGTGCCAGTAAGTAGGGTCAAGTGTCAAATATATTGCCACCTGTCTGGATATAATTCGACCAAAGAAGTCGCTTTAATCCTTGCAGCGGATTCCCTCCGTGTACCGTTTCAAGTTGTTAAGAGGAAATCCGGCACTTTTTAATATACCCTCATTCGCTTGTTATACTTTAACGCCTTGTTGGAACCCGGTCATTGAGTAAATTGACACCTTCCTTTGTGTTTTCTTCGAATCCCAGGAACGACAGGTGCATTCCTAAGGGAATGAAGTGTAACGGCGTGGACGACTGCGGGGACGGAAGTGACGAGCAGCGTTGCAGGGAACGGTTCGCTTGATTTCCGGGCAGAGAACGCGACAAAGGAATTGGTGCCTCTGCAGAACCTTGTACGATATTCATACAGTATTCTGCATAGAGAGATCCGAATAATATATAAATATTGTATAGGCTAATGGACATTATGTATATTGTACGAAGTAACCGACGGAACAATAAACACGCGAATTTACACACCGACGCGTTCGCTCGGTCGAAAGTTTTCCCCAACTACCTGAAGTTACATTACCGGCCCCATTTACAGGTACATTAATCGACATTAATCGACATCTCTGGTTTCGTACGTTAGCTTTCATCGTTTTTTGCCCCCAAGGGCGGCGCAACGAATTTCTGGTAGGAACTCGCGCACTCGCGATGGCGGTTCCATCTACCAGTCGCCGTTGGCGGCTCACGTACTCGTGATGGTAATACCATGCGGCAGTTGACGGTGGTAGCTTACCTCCTTTTACCAACACTGCGGCAATACGTGAGCCGCCAACGGCGACTGGTAGATGGTACCGCCATCGTGAATGCGCGAGCTCCTATCAGAAATTCGTTGCGCCGCCCTTGGGGGCAAAAAACGGTGAAAGCTAACGTACGAAACCAGAGGGCAGCACAGGATGCGATCGCACGACCCTGCCTGTGAGCAATCTCCCAACTCATCTCTGATGCAAATACATCTTGGATCTATTAAACTAATTCAATCGTATGACGAATTTCTTTATAAAAAAATCGACAGCGAGCTGCCACCGGTACAACTAAACGTATATTGAACGACTTTGATAGTATCCGGTATACACAATGCTTACACAGGATCGGATAGCTTGTTACATCTTGTCATGTGTATGAAAGTGAATACAAACGCATTACCGTTATCACATCGTACATATACGATGTCTCGAAAAGAGACCTCAATTTGGCAATCTTCTACTGTAGGCTTCCTTAACCGTGTACAAATACGCCGATGACGTATTTCAACTTGACACCGCCACTTACAATATATCGTTCAACTTTATTTCTCTTGCAAGTAGCTATACCGTTATACCTGCTTGTCTGGGGAGTGATATATAACATACAAATATCGTCTATTGCTAAACAATAAAATATTACCGACGATACTGGTATGTACAAATTGAACAGGCGTATTATGTTTCCGTTCATCCTCTCGTCTGTCGTCTCTTCATTGGTTTGCGTCGATTGGATTAATTGAATTATATGAACTCGTCAGGTTCTCGGGGAGCGTCGAGATCTCTGTAATGTATGACCGGCCTGAAGTCTCCACCACCGCCACTGAAAATTCGAAAAACAAAGTCAATTAGAAAAGTGGCCTAAGGCTCCAACAAACGCCTTCCACCGTACAACAAAGTGGCGCAATACTATTTAAACCTTATAGCCATCGACAAAAACAAAGTGGCTTTACGTGCAAATTACAGACACATCGTGCAAACACAGAAATGAGGTAGCGGACTTAGCGACAACGTGTCAAGACGTAGGACCAAAGGATGCGAATGGTATGGGGATTCAAGTAAAGAATGACAAGACATTGCACATAAATATGTTTCTTTATTTATCTCGGTAAAAACTTCCTGATCTGTAACGCCGTATAAATCTCTAATTTCTGACCATTACAGGGTGCATCGTCGTCATGTACAATGTATCTCTCGTCATCCCGTGCGTTACGTTCGTCATTGATTTCGAAGGAACGCGACACCGGAATGATTGCATTCTAATCTATTTACGAAGGAGGATTCAAAGCATTATATCGGAGGATATGTTTGTACAGATTATGTAACGGATATATTGTACCCAAGTACCGTTCCCATGAAGACCCGAGTAATTTGTCACTTTTTGAGGCCGTGCATGCATTCAGACCTTGAATTGAAGATCATTTCCGTTTTGAAAGACTTCACGGTTCTTTCGAATACAAAAGAAATTATGAAGCAGCAAACCCCTTCGTTCGAAAGGATCCCCTTGTTAGTTTAGTGTTACATAATCTATATAGCAATCTGTTGACGCAAGAGTCAGTCGGATGGTCAAGCTCCAAACGAAAGCTACGCGTAATTTGAGGGAATTCAAAATATGTCCACGTCTAGATGGTCCAAGTCAGTGTAACTAACAACAGGCCTCTTTGTTGATTCCGGAGCAGCCCTGTAAACATTATATGACCTAATTTGCCAGACACTTTAAACTTCCCTCGTTTTGGCCGTACGTATTGAGAAACATTAGACAGATTATTGTAAAACGGACTTCACATCTATGAAAGGTGAAAATGAAAAAGAGATACGGAACATGCATTGCACGATGCATTAAGGAGACCGAAGCCTCCGGTATTTACTATACACATTGTTACGTGGTGGATTTCGGGCCGCACGTCGCAGACCTTTGTCGAGTCACGGGAGGCAAATGTCGCCCTTTAAAATTCACCTTTAAAATTATTAAATTGTTTCTCCGCGGGTCTGACGGTCCCCGACCCGCGGGGAAACAATTTAATAATCAGAGCGATTCGAGTCCCGAGTCCTTTTTGTCCTGGGTATCAAGTTTTGACGATTTTGTGGTAGTTTTGAGTATTAGCCTCCGGGGATTCATCTAGGATCCCGCCGCCACGTCACAACGTATACATAAATGAAAGCATACGACTGAAGTTTTTTTTTTCACAAATTTTTAAATGCTAATTAAAATTTTTCAAGAGAATGAAACGAGAATCCAAGGGATATATAATCTATTAATGTAATTGTAACTTGATATAATCATGTTGCTAGATTATAACTTTTAAAATTCCCTGCACTTTAACTGCAGTTGTATGCATTTTTCACCTCAATTATTCTGTTATCTTTGATCAAATCTTTCTTACCGTCCTCTGTTGAAACCGCCGCGATTTGAACGAGGCATTCCGAATCCTCCGAAGCCTCCACCACCTCCGCCGAAGCCGGATCCGTATCCTCCTCTTCCGCCACCATAGCCGCCGCCGTATCCTCCAAATCTTCAAGGTAGAAAATTTTTACAATTTAGTGAAAAATATAAATACTCGGGGAAGGCTCAGAAATATCCATAGTGACTACATACCCGCCACAATTGTAAGGTGTGAACGTTTCACGCGGCCCTTCTCTGGGTGGGGCTTTATTTCCTGGATGTTCCGGAAGTTGCGGCCTCTTCGGATCCTTCAAATAGTTGTTGAAGTACTCGGCCTCCGCCTTGACTTCGGCAACCTTCTCCCCGTGTTTATTGAAAATATGTTTGCGAATGAAATCAGGACCCTTGAACTTCTTTCCGCTGAGAGGACACAACCACTTATCCTTAGAAAGCTCTTGAGTGTTTGCTTGTACAAATTTCTCGACTTCACTGAAGTATAATATTAAGGAAATAAGAGGAAAAATTGTGACCCGGGTTCAAAGGAAAAAGAAACGAAAATTGTTTCAGGTGTAGGCGGCATTGTTGAACATTAATTCATTCGTATTAATATAGTAAGAATCGTTTAAAAAGGATACGCTTCGGCATTTTTGGCACCAAGCTTTTCGAATTCGTCATTCGCAACAGTGGCTACGGGAACAAGAAAGACGGACATTTTACTCTCGAAATTACGGCAGTATTCCGAGAGCTCTGTGCTTGAAACTTTGGTAGTCGGTGGGGATCCCCTGACGTGCATTATTCCACATCGGTTTGGCATCTCATCTTCGTTCGGATACTCACAATGATTGTAATAATCAACTGAATGCACTATTCGAAGATATAATATTAATTTGTCGAGAACCTGGTATTAAAAGGAATCCGGATTAATTTTCTTCTGTTCTGGAACGATCACGTGTCAGATCCTAATTGCTTATTATCGTTTGGAAAACTTAGATACTAGAATGAGATATACAAACCTTGATCAATGCGGGGTCTCTTTCTATGGGGCCATCGCCATCACCGCCTAGCTGACCTTCTTCATGATCACCCGACATGCCCAGTAATTCTTCCTCTTCTGCAGATGCTTCCTCTATCAGATAATCGGTTATATTTTTTAGTACTGGATTTTTAGAGGAGAGTCCAAATGCCTGAAAAGGAAATTATACTTTTATGTCTAATATTTACGAGTAAGAAACGATATATGAATTTAAAAAAAGGACGTAATTTCAGATTGCAAATATATATATAATTATATTACCGCCTGTTCAAGCTCATCTGCGCTTTGGGCTGATTTTGCTTCCTTGCATTCTCCGTCTTTCGGAGAACTTTCTTCTTTCCTTTCCTCCTTCCATAAGCCAGCACGGTTGTCCAAATTGTGAACGATCTTCGCGCTTAACTTAATATCATTTCTGACAATTTGTTTGTGAGACGTCAATCCATTTACTGTCCGAATACGGCGAGAAAGATCTCTGTTCACTATAGCACCTAATTCACAGTCTCGAAGCTATACGAAGTTAAAAGATTACGTTAAATTGCAAGAATTAAATGTTGAAGAATTTCTAGAATACGTTACTTACTCTTATATTATTTAGACTCCAACAAATTTCCTTTATGTTTACTTGACGTTCAAACGATACCCAACCCCGACGAAACCATCTGCGTTCAGGTTGTGGATCAGCTATCGCTACACGCAGAAACCCGGGAAATCTCTTGCACATCTGTTAAAGGCGTCGGTTTAAAAGCATGGTTAGGCAAGTTGAAGAATTTTGCATAGAACTATGTTACTGGACTTACGGCTTCAACTTCAGCTTTGGTTATCGTTGGAGCTAAATTGCGTAGAAATATGCTGCTAGTTTTATGAAGAGCGCGAGGTTCTTTCTCCTTTTCTTCGCTGGCTAAATCGATCACTGTCTCGGGCTCGACATTGGCTTCATTCTTCTTTTCATCCTTTTCCTCCCCCTCTTCCATCGGCTCTGCCGTTTTAACTTCTTCCTTTTCCGCGTCCGGAGTAACAGTCTCCTCTGCAGCTTTTTCTTCGGCTACATCGTCTGGCTTGTCTTCGGTCGCTAAGTAAAAGATTGCATCATTGCAACATTATAAAACGTGAAAAGGAAAAAAAATAGTTTTCTTCACTTACGAGTAGAGGGCTTCGGTGAGTCAGGTTTATTGCTGTCACTGTCGGAAGAACTGCTACTACTACTGCTGCTGGAGCTGCTATTACTGTCGCTTCGTTTGCGTTTCTTGGAATTAACTTCAACCGGTTTCTCTTCCTCTGGAAGGACAAAATTAAGTAACAAAAAGTACCGGTAAAAGTTACTTCGTGAACGTACCCTTTTCTTCCGACGGGGGAACACTTTCGGTCTCTTTATTGGCATCTGCATTCTCTTCGACCTTCTCTGGCGTAGCTTCTTTTTCTGGGGTTGGTTCTTTAGCATCTTTTTTCATCTCGGCATCATCATTATCCCAGTTTTCAGATGATTCGATCACAGGTGGTTCGAAAGCTTTCAATAAATGACTAAAAGAAACCATAGATACAATGACGAAACAATATCAAGATGTATTTTACAGTTACATCGATCTCACCTGTCTAATCTTTTGTTTTCATCCGTCCCGCTTTTATCGCAAAAGTCGTCCTTTTCTTTTTTAACAACAACTGTCTCTTTTATCGGTGGTATAGGCGACTTCATGTCCAAAATTTTAAGATCTTCTTCCGTACCACCTTCCAATTTGATTACTACTGCATCCAAAAGATGCAGTAAGATATCGGTCTGATCGGCATCAACAGATACTTTGTCAATTTCATCTTGGTCGAGCATTTCTAAAAACACTTCTATTCGTTTCTGCAGAAAAAAAAGAAAACAACGTCTTTTAGACTTGGGAAGTTATTTCATCAAAATTCATTACAAAGATCACTCAATACCTTGAGAGCAGCCACTTGTTCTTCTTTTCGCTTAATCGATTCTTCTGGATGATATTTTATCTTGAACCTATAGTTTAACAATAAAAGAGGAGAAATTAGATTTAAGCTCACAAATGGGGTGGTAGAAAAATCTATGGTATAAATAATCTGAATAATTCAAATCAATGAAAATTCACTCGAAGAATTGCATATGCAAAGAATGAGATCCGGAAATATTTTTTAGAGAGCAAGTAGAAATTCTCTGCATAACCAATTCTTGGAATGCAGAAATTTAACACGATACATCAATATCAGCAGCTAAACGATCACAACTGTCATCAGCATTTTTATCCCAAGAAATCAACTGATAAATCGAAATAGATGTAAGAGTAATGTGTCTATCACATCACATTGATGAAATTTGCTAATTGAAATAGCAACGAGTAGAGTAAGTACAGTTAAAAAAATCAGTCCGTATGTATTGTTTTTATTTCTATTTTTATGCTATCAAGATATCTTATCGTTATGAAGTGTTCACGCTGCTGAAATTGTTGCAGTACCCAAGTGGGACATGCATAATAGAAAGTAAAATTGACAGCGGAGGAAGCATCTGTAATCGAAGGTCTATTCAATTTTTTTCCAGGACCTTAACAACTGTCTGTATTGCAAATTAAACTATTAAAACATTACAACTGACTGCTTCTCGAAGTCACATGAAGGTGAATCATATGACCTGCAAGGAGCGATCAAATACCGAAGCATGATCCATTGTATACGATCTTATTTAAGTAACATTTGGTGCAACTCTTCGACGTATCCCACCCTATATTGCGTAGTATCTACCTTAACATATTTGTTAAATAAGTACACAATGTGTTGCACCACTTAACAATAGTATTATACGAGTGACAATATATTGACATGGTCAGTTACGGAATGGAGCCTCACCTGTGGTCTCATATTTTTGCTCGCATTCGGTTTTCTCGGTGTTTCAGAGTTTCTACCCTAACAACCCTACAGATTGATTCAAGTTTAAAAGTGATTGCGGGTTTAGAACGCGGTCTAAGCGAGCGAATTTGGGCTTTGCGCGCCCAGCTCGCAAACTGAAACTAGCTGGTTATTACGACAGCTCTGGTCTTCGTTGTTGCGCGTAACGCGAGAGGCATAAAAAATCGAGCGAAAAAATAAACGGACGAGATGACCGATGCCCGAAGTACAGTGGGCGATGGTGGCTGTGTGCTGTAGGGATAGAGAAATCTGGTCACATTGTTAGAAGTTAGCTAGAATCGTATTTACACGATTCCGTATATGCAGTCGATAAACCCCTAATTACACCCATCCTTTTCGTCTAAACTAAGCTGACCACGTTATATTTAATATTCTACAATAGCTGGATGAATAATTTAAACGTGGGGTTCCTTCATTAAAATAAATATCTGAAGTATTTAACAAGTTCTAAACGAAAATGACTTTGCAGTTCAAATTGCTACATGAATGACTGACAAGTTCGGGAAGTATTTGCTTTTTCGTACAGTATGAGAATGAACTGGTTGTAAAAACAGATAACATCATTTATAGAAAGTTTACATATCTCAATCATCATGGAATTAATTACTGGAGTAAATATCTGCATATTCAGCTATTGTAGGTTATTCCTATTTGCGAAAAGCATTTTGAGGAAACTCATTTGTAATTGTAGCAATTGATAGAATGATTAATACAGAAAATATTATAATTTTGTGACTTTTCTTCATCAACTGCTTCAATTACCGCTCAATCTCGTGCGACAAACATATACGTGATATACGAAACCATATGCTCCAGATAAACTCGAAAAAAAGATAAGTCGCCTTACCATTCTTCATCCTTGTGTGCTACGAAGAATTCATTCAGTTGTTGCCGTCTGAATTCTAGTTTATACTCATTGTAACGCTTGATGGCTTCTTCATCCGTAATGGTATCTTCCTGCGTTCCAAGGAAAGCTTTGAAAGTCATCATCGGCGGTTGCGTCTCTACAGCGGAATTGCTATAGTTCCCAGATGCTTCGCGGCTAGACGAAGTTAATTCATAATTATTGACTGTTTAATATCATAAGCATAATTGCAAATTGAAAATTATGAAACAATTTCATCATAACGCGATTTACGGTACCTGAATTTAGCTAGTAATCTTGGAGTTAACCGGCTCCGTTTTAGCATTGTATATTCGTATTTTACTTTATTATGTATATTTAAAAATAATATTGCAGTATTTTCTTAACCTTTCTATACATAAAAAAATAAACAATTAAAGCAGGGAAACCAACCTGCTATTGTTTCCATGATTGCCATAGTGATGGTTGCTATGGTGAGGTGCAGAATAGTGATCTGGACCCCAGGAGCTGCCGCCACCACCGCCACCACCTCCTCCACCACCACCACCTCCACCTCCTCCTCCTCCTCCTCCTCCTCCACCACCGCCACCGCCATAGTAATCATGACTGTATCGTGGTCTGTCGTCCCAGTCTGTACGCATTCTTTTCATAGGTGGTGCCATTTCTTGTGAACGAGCAGGGCTGTAACGTTCACGTCCTCCACCTCCTCCTCCACGATATTCCCGATAGTCTGGCCTTGCACGAGGTCGGCTGGACCACTCTCTAAAATAATCACTACAGTTACAAACCACTTTGGATGTGAACATGTTCAAGCATAAAGAAAACGTTACTCTGGGTTAGATGCTCTCATGATATATCAATATATACATTTCTTAATCACTTTGTGTATTATTGCTATTATGGATGACTGTTTTACCTTCTGATAGACAAAAATCTTGCCATATTTAGGAGGAGAGGAAAATTTGGGGAGGAAAATGCAGGAAAGGTGCTTTCATTATCATCATTGCTTCTATTCCTGAAATAGTAAACACTGGAGAGCATCAGGATTTGGATAAACTCATGATCGTTCATTTCATATTTAGCCTCTAAATTAATATGCATTCAGTTACATATCACTAACATTTTACAGATCTTAATTGTAAACAAAATATAGATTATTGTTTACCTATCAACCCAGTCATCTCTTCGTCGATCATCCCGACGACCTTCTCGGGAGTAAGACTCGGTTCGTTCTCCCCTGAATTTATCTCGTCTCTTCCGATCATATTCGTCATCCGAATCTCCCATTTTTTACAACTACCTTATTACAAATTCTGAAAAAGAAGTATAATTGCTTAGATGAAATAAGGTTGACATAACAATGGGAAACTGTTTTTCATGAATAAAAATACATTTTCACCAAAACTCAATGCGATCACAGGAAATGATATTCATATAACTTCATTTGTAAAGATTAAAATAATGCACAATCACACTTCAGATTACGAAGATGTTTGAGTCTTACAGGTGAAGCTTTTGAATCAAATTTAGGCAGAATAACTTAATCTGGAAGTACAGTTATAATTGAGACAAAATTTCCAGGAATCCGGCTACATAACCTTTCCGTGCTCACGATAGATAACACAATTCTGTGATGAAAAGTATCATGTAATATATAAGGTTACTCAAAGATATTAAACTTGAAAAATAACAGTTTACGTTCGTAAATTCCAAATTTATAGTGCTTAATAAACCATGCATTAATTTTTAGTCACTAAAGTAAAATTGACTTCAAGTCGGAGTATTTGATCATTGCAGAGTCTTTAGAATCCGTAGTCTGTTGATAATATAAGGTGGTATTAAATATGTTTATGGAAAAAATACCTGAATTTTGAACAATTTGTCGACAAAAAAATTCAACGCGACACAAAAATCTACTTCGGACACGCTGAAATACGTCACTCCACCATGGCGGATGTTTCAACCGCCACCGCAAGCGCGTCGCTTCCATGGCGCTGCTGTCGCCGGCGAAAGCGCAAAGCCACTTGCCCGCGGAATTCAAGATACCAAAATTGTCCAGCACAGTAATACTCAATTTACTCCAACATTAGGAAACTCTTAAATAAAGAGACATGCCTAACAGTATTGCTGAAATATACACAACAATTTCAAAAGCATGAAAGTATCCTCGAGAATAAAATATCAAGTCTTTAACATCTTTGCAGGAACTTTCCATTAAGAAATCTCTCTTAATAATTTCTTCTCTAATCCCGTTCGTCACTTACCGGTACTTGATTTCTTCAAGGAGAAATACGCTTCGGATTCCTACAATCCGTTCCCAGGATTAACAAGTTTGTTATAAGCACTACGTAAAAGTTGTAAATATTCCAATCGTAACATTGTAATCGTAGGAATGCAATGCAATACTTTCACCTTAATCTCCCTTTACTCATCATGTGTTAAAAACCGCAAAGTTTCTCCGGTCCTTTCGCTACGTCTCCAGTATTTACGAGCAATTGTTGTCAACAAAACGTTACATCTTTTTCATTTTGAATTTGATCTCCCTGAAGGATCATGCAACGGCGACCGTGCACATACTTTCTACACCTTCGTCAGCACAATTCCCGCCATAAAGACGGTCATGGTAAGACAAGCATGGTAAGAATTCATTTCCCCAGTGAAGGATTCAAGGACTGGGCGGAAATAACGCTTCCCCGAGTGGGTGGGTGGAGTCTCCGGTAGCGTTGTACCGCCTTTAAGAAATACTTGGCACCAGGGCAGCAGAAGCGCGCCGAGCCGGCCACTCGCTTAGCCTTATCAATCGATAGTTGCCACGTGCCGATGTTGCTATGCCGGAACATGTTCCCCTATGACCGCAAGACTCGAGTGTGACCCGGCCTGGGGACATGGGCATGTCCTTGCCGAAGGTCGACGGCCTCCTGGCCGCCACGTTCAATTGGTGTACACCCCCGCACCACTTAGCCGGTCCACCACCGTGCTCACCCTCTGCGTATGTATTTACATTCAGTTGAAGATCTTCATTTCAGCATAAAATCTCCAGGCCACCTTGAAAAAGGAAGTCCGAAACTCAATTAAAATATCAAAATCGTGTTTCTCCCATCTCCCTATGGGATAGTGACTAAATATAAAGGACGCGCCGAGTTACTCCTAAGGATTGGTTAAAATGCTTTTACATAGTAAATATACAAGATATGGAAAAATGTTTCGTACAAAAAACACGTAGGATGCTGTATGGAAGGATCTTTGTACGGGGTATTTTTTGATAATGTGCGTATTAACAGCGGGAAACGATAAAAATGATGCGTGTACCGGAGTTCCTTGCCGCTCGCAGACAGAGAGAGGTGGATAGATTGAGTGAACACCGGGATAGAGGGAGAGCAATGATATTGAAAGGTTCGAAGAACCGCGAAGTGATACCTACTCGACGATGCTGCTAGCCTGGCATGTTGCGCGACTGCCAGACATCTTGCGGTCCGCGCGCGGATTCTTCGCGACGCAACGGCGGAATTATTCCGCCGATAAGAGCCGCCCCGGAGTCGCGCGACTCGCGCTCCCTTCAGGAAGGGTCAGTGGGCTTCCATTGGGACCTGTACTCGCCGGCAACCTGGACAAGCTTCCGCTCTTCGAGCACCCAGGGAAGTCGTCACGAAACCGCTTCCCGTAAGTCACCAGGAATCCAGAAGGTAGCGCGGTCGGCTGAGAGGAGCGCCGCGCCGCGGAAGTTTCGACAACTTATACAAAATGGCGCGCATGCCATTCATTATTACATTACAATACGATGTTCTGGATTGTTCTTTATTTTATGTGTTTTTTCAATTCATTTAAGAAGCTTCATTCAAAAAGCTGGCAGTATTTGTTTTTATTTCTTTGGTTACCAATTACCGACCAAAAGTTGCTTAATTGGTGGTTATGTGCATCAGTTCTCCCAATAAGCGCTCGATGGCGCCACGACTTGCTTCGGGGAATAAGGGTGTTCTACGCAGAATTAAACTCCTACCTTCACGGTAAAAACTGCGAATTCTGTAACTTCATTAGATATTTATGCGTTTTTCTATCAACTGAACAACAGAAGTACAGAATCAACGGTTCAAAGGCAAGAGAATGGTAAATAAAAAAAAGTGTATTTTACAAATATTATGCCCGATCGAGACTTGCGAGATACGCAGTGCAGAATTTCTTGCACTCCGAGGTACATTGTTGGCGGATGAAAGAGTTCCGAAATTGGAGTTCTACCGGTCTTAGATTAGGGGTTCGATGAAAGGGGACCAAACCCGACGTCGCGTGGCCACCTATCTCGTCGACTTAACAATGGCTTATCGCGATTGGAAACCCATCCATCACTTACGATCCCCGTGCAACATACGAGCCTCCATGATGCTGTAAATTTGTACCGATGATCGATTATTTTTTTCCACCCCGCGAAACCGCCGAAAGCACTCCCTTTCCCGTGCCTAGTCACTAGAATGCAACTTTACAAGATTTTAATTAACTCTCCACGTACCCTGAACATAATTTGAATTTATCAACTGATGAAAAATGAGAATTTCATAAAACCTCGTGTGTTCAATTTAAAAAATAAAAGAGGACAGCCACTCCGATTAATTTCCTCGACATTAAATTATCGCATTGTAGTGTTTACAATTCGCGAGCCCATAGGTCAGACAAATGAACGTATGTCTCAGTTCCGGTCTGTCAAACAGTCCCGACAGCTGTCAGTTTAAAATCAGGCGAAAAAAATGGCATAATAAGTGCATCTCTCTCTCTGCGGTTGGAAACGAATTTCAAATCGCACTTGTCCCGATTCAAACCTCGACCATGGCGAATCGTCGTGACGATTGGGGCGTTTTAAATGGGGAGGACTCTTCGGGGCGCGTGCCTTTTTCCCAGCGCGGGACATTTAAATTGCCGCCTCCTCTTGTCGGTTTTTACGACTTCAGAGTCACGCATCGCTTTTTCACCGTTTCCCGGCAAAACTGGAGATTCTTTTTTTTTTTTTATCGTGAGAAAACGCGAAACGCGAGGGGAGATCTGGGGAAAAAGTATCGGGGATTTTAATGGCCGCAATTTAATGCGCCTCCCCCCATACTTCACGGTGCAATTCGAGCTTCAATGGCTTCAACTTACGCCAGTACTCTGTAATTCAATTCGGATACATCTTGTATACAATATAAAATATCGACGAGGTATTAAAATCGTCCCGAGGTGGTTTGCAAAAAATCATTCGAGGAGTCTCTCCCGTCAGGAGACTAGGAACAACTTTAATCCGATATATAGTACACTTTAACCATTCCATAGGCTGTCGGCAAAGATTAATCACCGGGTGGACAGATGGTGCGAGGTTTTGTACGAGTGGTGACTTGACTGTCCTCGAAAGGCGAAAATCGGGGAAACTGTCCTCTACAGTTTGCGCCCTTACAAAGCCTTAATTTGGAAACAAAGGAGCAGTACCGGTACTCTCGTTGCAACGCATTTGAGACTCGATGGAACTACCGGAAAGTCGTTGCTACTTTCCCGAAAACGCTTACATCCATCCACGTTCGAGATAATCCTTATTTGAATTAATCTCTCATACAAGAATCTGAAAAAAAAAAATAAAAAAAAGAAACATTTTGCGGTCCGTGAACTCGGATATATTTCCCAAAAAATTTCTCGGCCAAGTATTAATTATAAAATGTATATCTCCATCGTGCCCCTCGACGCCTCTGCTTTACCAGTTCTTACGGCATCCTACGTGATTTACGAGGGCAAACGTAACGATCCAATATTCCGTGAGCATGCCGCGCTTTAATCGATATATCGGGAGAATTTACGATCCCAAACAAGAGACCCCGAAGGGCGACTCCACTTTCCCGCGTCTTCCGCGTTCCATATCTAGCAACATGACCGGCGATAAATTCATATTTCCGATTGTGGCCGCGTCGATGACCGGGAGCAACAAATCGTAAAGTACGCCTCGGCGTGACCAGCAGGTTCGGACAATGTTCCAATTATTGCCGATTGTGCTTGGCCAACTGTCGATAAGGGTCAGCCGGGGGAGGAGTGACCACCGGTCAGTCGGCCCTCGGGGCCGACTTTCCTCGGTTTCGCTCTGTTTTTGTAAGGAACGCGAGACCTCGCAATTGCGTCACCACGTGCACCCCTAAGTGCTTAATGTATGCATGTTTGCCTAACTATGCGGGGATCGCCGGTAAAGCGCGAGATTCGCCACTCTGTTTGTCCAGAGGATGGACCTTTGGTGCAAAGCCCACTTGACCACGTATTCTCGCGTGCTGGCGATCGACAGGGAATTGCGAATAAATATTTATTAGCCCAGAGCGTACACCGGGTCTAATCCTTTTTTTTTTTTTTTCTACCGTCACGAATCTCGTTAGATCACGACGGCGCGACTTAGCGATTAATCCTTCCCCTAGTCCTGGACCCCTGGGAGCAGGGAAATTGTTGCATTTTTTGCGAGATAGGTAAAAACGATGCTAAACGAAATTTCGAATCAAGGGACTTTGAAGTACTTCACGGTGGTAATTATTTAGTCGGGTCTTCTCGCTGCCGCTGTCTCGAAATTTCGGGATTAAATCATCCCTCGGATCAATTTACCTCCGACTTGAATCGAGATTAATTCATGAGCAGTGAAGGGTTGGCAGGGGGAATAATTCCTCGTACTCAGCAGCCACGAAATGCGCAATACCTTCTGCCAATTGAGCCCTATAGGAGGTACCCCTTTTCGCGAGTGCGTTCTTACCCCCCAAGGTCCACCTTTCGTCACCTGATAGAGAAGCTGCGTCTCAATTCCAGATTAAATTTACGCAATTCCTTGAATAGGTCATTTATATGAGGATTTCCTCGATTCGATTATGCAGCGATGGAAGTACCGAAAAAAAAAAAAGAAAAAAACGGGCCCATTTTCGCATGAGTCACGAGACGCCATTAAATTTACGCAGGTCATTATATCGATGACTTATCGCCCGTGTTATCCCTCGGGAAGTAGACGGAGCTAAAGTGTCCGGGAGTACTTCCGGTCTGCACGCGACATCCGCACGTGAAGCCACGTGGCATGTGATGTGGACACGAGCGTGCACTTTTCTAGGAAGCGAGACCGATGCCTCGTGGTTTTCACTCCTTTGCCCCCTGAGACCTTTTCGGTCTCGATAATCCACACCTTATCAGAGTTTCCTCGCTTTGTTCTCGATAATTCTCCCGATTACGAGAATATATCGAGATAGCCGCAAAATAGAGATTCCGCAACAAGCGTCTGCAGATTACCAAGGGATTCTAAAGTGAGGTCGTAAAATGGAAAAATGTCGAAATTTGACGTCTGATAGAAATTCTGACAATTCGGAGCCACGTGTTTCGTAGGGAATATCTAAGCCAGGACCTTGTGCGGATTTTTGCGCAAAAGTTTGTACTTCTAATTTGTACCCCTTCCCTTACAAGCTGTACAGTACATTTTATGCCTCAATTTTTGGGCTTAACTTAATCTGAATTAATGCCATTTAATCGAGCGAGTGGTATACGGTTGCTCGGCGCATTTGTAATTCGATAAGGAGATCGTATGACTTGGAGGGCATCGGTCACCATTAGCGACACCGTGAGAATTTTGGAAACGGATGCAATTGTGTAAGAACGACATATTATGCAGGACTGTTTCACCGAGCTGTCTCATCGGGATAGAATTCCTTGCGGAATGGATGCAGCTTGCAGATGCAAACTCACCCCGTGTACGCGTGTACATGCCCTTTCGGGTTCGATTTTCTTTCCAGACCCGAAAGAGGGTCCCTCGGGACACGCTGCACCGTCGTACCTGTGGGAACGTGGCTTCATAAAGGACGAACCCCCTACGAAGGAGCTACATAATGCGAGGAACTCGGAAGGAGCATTTTCATGGGGCACCGCCACAATTCGGTGCACATGCGACTGCACGTTCGGCGGGGAGTGCAGAAAAATGGGCACGTGATCCAATTTTTTTCTTGGCCCGTTCTTTTATCTCGTGATTTCGAAAAGACGTGTGCAGGACGTGTGCAGATCTTCGCGAAGCTCGCCCTAAAAGAGGGCCTCGGGATGAACCGTATCGAATAATTCGCCTCCCGTAGAGACTTTTTAAACCAAACAGGATGATTAGTCCCACCTGATTCGTTATCATCTCGACCCCCCAAAAATGATAATTTTATATCTGATTATTGGGGACATGACAAATCCAGGGAGAGTACCCTTGACGATAGTCATTCTTCACGGTATCCAGGAAGACATGTGCCACTGTTTATTGGACAGGATGGAGCTTTAACTTACCCTTAAGTCGATGCGAAAGATTACGACGATTGCATTTTGCCCTGCAGGTGCAAGTATACGTAATGCCCGCGTACCTGACTGGACGACCATGGGAAACCATAACTCGGGACTAATCTCCGGGTTAATCGGCGCCGAAAAGTTAACGATTCGATTAGTCAGCGAGGTTCCCAGGCCCACGGTATCGATAATCGTGTGAGCGCGTGCTGCGTCCAATTCCTGTGTGAATTTCATTCGGTACACCCTCAGGACGTGGTCCTAGGCGCACCCCTCGAGCTCGGTATATACGTACACGTGCATACATAGACACGTGTACTCGAGTCGATCAGAAACGCCCCAAAATGCCCGGCACCATGGCGATCGTGGCTAGTTCCTAGCGAGGGAGGTGCCCTAGGGATTTCACGCTGGCCTACATACATACAAAGACACAAGGACCTACACGTCCAACTCCTGGGAATCTGCATTTATCGGCACTCCACCGATGCTTCGGTCCCATTATCAAAGTCAATTAATTCCCGACATTACGCGACGATCAAGTCCCTCGGGCAAACCTGCACATTCCCAATCACATCCCAAAATAATACCTCTTCGAAAGTCCATCTTCACCAGGACAATTTCCCTGTAAATGTCCAAAATATCCAAAACCTGCGAATTCCTAATCCAGAAGGTACACTTAACCTCTTGCCTTACGATTTAAATTCCAATAGCGCCTGCCATAAGCAACAACAATCTCGGTCATACATCGCCCTATTTCACGGTTTGGCTGAACGTTCAAAGTCTCACGCGTCTCTTATACGCTTTGTTTACGTTTGGCCCTATCGACGTTCCAAGTCTCTCACACGTCTTCTTCACGTTTGGCCCAATCGACATACCAAGTCTCTCACACGTCTTCTTCACGGTTTACCCCATTGACATACCACGTCTCTCCCACGATATTGTAAGTGGAGGTTAACACAGAAGGCTAAAGTAAATAATTCCCAGTATATCTTATTAAAAAAATTCCATAGTTTTCGGTAGAGTTCCTTCATGCTATTATTATTTCAATATGTTATCATTATTATCATCAGGGTTATTATTCTTCCTATTATTATTACATCAATCAACCGGTTAGCCTCCATTCGTAAATGGAACACCAAACTTACGTATCTCTAGGATATTGTCAAAATGACTGGAATTTTACGCGCATCCCCAGTTATAATTCCTTATCATAGGATTTTTTACTAAGTTTGCGATTATTGTGTGTCCCCGCGGAGCGACAAGACGGGGCCCCCCGTCCTCCCCCTTAGACCGCGCGTTACGAGCGCGACAATAAGCGCGAAGCGCCACAGGCGTTCCCACGAAATCGGCCGGTCCCCCTGGACTCCCCTTCCTCGCAGGGGCAGGAAGAGGGGCAGGGGGAGGTGGTCCGCGCCACAAGCTCGAGCTTCTCCCCCACCCTCCGGGTCCGCGTGGCGCGCGGAGGGGGAGGGGGTCCCGGTCGTGTGTCGGCCTCGTCCTCCCGCACACGACATACGTTCGCCGCCACGCGACCGGTGCACACGCATCGGGCACGCTCCGAGCACGCATCGCGACTCGCGGCCGTCCTCTCGCGTTTACCTCGGCCACTGGGACGAGCGCGAGAGAAGGAGAGCGAGAGAGGGTGGGGGCGTCGGAGAAGAGCTCGCGGGTCGCGTGTCTCGCGCGTCGAGTGGGGCGACTGCTCGCTTCGCGGCCGAAAGAGGACTTCCGGGCGAACTTGGTTCTTCGCGTCGGGGAGGCTGTCGACCGGGCGCGTAGCCGTTGCAGGGGTTTCCGCCGGAAGCAGTCGGTTCGCCATCCGGGACGGCGGGGCGGAAAGTCGAGATCGGACCTTTGGACACGTGGACGTGAAAACGTGAACTCCGGCGGGGACGGAACATCCGGACCTCGAGGGATGTCGAGTCGGAAGTGCGCAGCGGGAGGCAGATCTTGGAAGAAATTCTCGAGGAAGGAAGAATCCGAGATAACGAGGCTCTGGTGGAGAGGTGGACCGTGAACGGAGGATATGAGAAGAGAGTCGTCGTCGGATACGCAGTGCTGGAGTGGTCGGTGGGAGAGGTCGAATAGTGTCGAGCCGGAAGAGGTTTGATACGTTCCTGAGGTTTGGACCGGAGAAGAGGAGAGATCGAGAGTTCACCCGGGCCAGCGAAGGACCGGAGACCCGGGAACCGTGGTAGACCTCTCGGTGGAGATCGGGGACGGCAGGATGTGGCGAGTCGTGGTGGCGCGGTCCGACGAGAACAGCACCCTGCTCTCGTCGGACATCACGTCCGGCGCGATGGGACCTATGGCCCCTATGGGCCCCATGGCCTCGATGGCGCCCATGGGACCCATGGGTCCGAGCCACCTCTCCTCGCTTCCGGCCCCCGGGGTGGCTTCGCATCACTGGGGCTATCCGCCCCCGCCCCATCCCACGTATCAGGCGCATCAGCACGCGGAGATGCGCCATCACCACCCCCAGACTCAACCCCAGCCCCATTCCCATCCCCACGACCCGAGGCATCCGGCCACCAGCGGGACCAACGTCCCCCCCAATGTTCCACCTGGTGGTCAAGGCGTGGGCGATGTCAAGGCCGATCATAGGCACGAGATGCGCCAACATCAGCCGGACATGCAGCGGCCAGAAATCAGGCACGAGATGCAGCGGACGGAGATCAGGCACGAGATGCAGCGGCCAGAAATCAGGCACGAGATCAGGCACGAGATCAGGCACCAGGACATGCCCGGCATGAGGAGCGAACTCACCGAACTTAGAGCCAGCCATGAACTGCCCGAACTCAAGATCGATATCACGGAACTCAGGACGCAGGAGTCACAGCAGCCGCAGCAGCAGCAACAGCAGCAGCAACAGCAACAATCGCATCAACAAAGGCCCCTCAAGCGAGCCATGAGCGACTCCGACTGTGACGATGTCTTCTCAGAGGAGAGCGGCAAGGAACCGTAGGTTCACTCGAGTTCTCGGTCTTATCTAGCTTGAACGTCGACATGAAAAATTCACGAGATTCTATACAAGAGCCCCTTTTAACTGACTCAACTTCTGGTTAATTCGACTCCATCGGCGCCTCGTAATGACGCATTATTGCCCGCAGTTTCCCTTAAAGGTCTCGGTATCTCTGCACATTATCTAAACCAGTTACGACGCTTTGCAAGCGACCCGGTGAACTTTCGCATGCCGCAGGTCCTGCGCAGTGGCGACCATTTGGCCGAGGCCAGCCGTTTCATTGACGCAAACCGTGGCCGCTATTACCGCTTTTACCGGCGTCAATAACGATGCTTTTAAGGAGACTTCCGGCCTGAAAATCGAATCCTCCCCCGGTGACGCTCGTTCAAACTTTCCGACCCTTCTCTCTTCTCATGCTCAAAAGCGTAATCTCGCATTATGGCCGGCAAGTTTGGCAGCGCCCTGTAATCTAATACGGCCTAGAGTGTCACAACACGTACGATCGCTTGTTCGGCCGGGAACAAAAGCATATTTTATGGAGGCACTCGTATTTACGGCGATTCGGCTTTTGCGAATGGTCCTCGACCCTGGTCACAATATGGCGGCCGTCGCCGTGCGATTGCCTCCGACGTTGAAACATGAATATTAATGAAGCTTTATCTCGGTCAGGCCGGGTCACCTCATCGCTTAATTGCAACAATGCAATCAAACCGACATTGTCCCCCCGGATTGTAAGTTCGGAAGCCACGAGGTCAGGTTCGATGAGATCCATTTTGTTTGCAGTTGCAACTCCCCTGGAGGCGACTCCTGCCAACACGCGTCCAGGAAGAGGAGACGGGGGATGATCGAGAAGAAGCGGAGGGACAGGATAAACGCATCCCTTGGCGAGCTTAGAAGATTGGTCCCGGCCGCGGCGAGGGATCCACACAGCGGGAAGCTGGAGAAGGCTGAGATCCTGCAGTTGACGGTGGAGCATCTCAGGACGCTGCGAAATAAAGGTGAGGAATTATCCAGGGCAGAAAAGGGGAAAGTAGACCCGAGGATCACTCGGTAATCGGCGATGGGCTCGGAACGTAGCAGGAAAGGGATGTCCAAGGAATATCGGTGCACCTGTCGAACGATTCCTAAAGAAACGAGCAAAGGACGCGTATAATGCGCTCGAAGGCGCAACGAGAAGTGGTCGCCCAAGGATTCTATATAATTAAGGCATGCGTGATTTTAAGAAGCAGATGGTCGGTCAAACTGTATCCTTAACGGTCCCGAAGGACGCCACCTTGTCCACCGGAAGTGACATCCTGCTCCCGTTGGGTGCAGCGCAACATCTCCGGTGCACAATGCGTTCGCACATCCTGTTTTCCTTCCTGAGTCCTTCCTTACCTCCCTGGGAATAGAGCGAGGCCTTTCCTTCTCCACCGCTTTGCCTCTCCCTTTCACCCTTTCTTTTCCCTCCGAGGTCCTGGCACAGGAAGTAGGCGGCGAGGCGCGGAAGCGCATTCGCTGATTGCACCTCGCGCAATTGTCGTAGCTTGCGAAAGAGATCCCTGAATGCGCGATAGGATGGTCGAGCCTGTTCCTCGGGTTGTTTTGGAACCTTCCCCTTGGAACTCGGTTCGACCACTCGTCTTCTCCGAGGAAACGATAGACAACCTCGGCTCTCTTCCTCTTTCTTTCTGAAAATTCCTTGGAATAGATTTATTTATTTATTCTCGATAGCCTGTCTAGATAATAGCGAAAAATTAAACGGGAGAGATCGGATTAACGGGCTCCAGATATTCACGAAGCGAAATTGAGAAGAGAGGTAGGAAGGATCTCGCGGATTGTTTGTAAACAGCCCTGTGGAGGTCTCGAGATCCATTCGCCTAACCTCAAACAGCTCACCGCACTTGTCGGTCGGGCACATTGCGGTCGCTTTGGACCTTTTTGACCGGAAGACACCTGTTGACCGTGCGGGTGTTTCGACCAGGCCGCAGAGCCCACGCTTAACCTCACCTAACCTAACCTAACCGCAATCCGATAACCGAATCACCATCTGCCGCAGATTTCCCCGTGAAACGCGGGAATCCTGTGCCATTTCTCTCTTCCACGATTTTATTAAGAAATTCGGTATCGTTTCTGACATTGTTAAAGTAACGAGATATCGAGAGCATGTTAACAAAAAAAAAAAAAATGAAAAATGAAAGTCGCAGCAGCCGCTCGTTCTTCCCTTAAGGGGATGTGAAAGTGGCATCCAAAGGATTTCGCTTTCTTTCTCTACGTCCTTGTCCATCCTCGAGGTCGAAGGAGTCCCGCTAAACGATCGGGACTCCGCAGTCGGGAGCAGGTGCTGGTCCTGGCCGAGATCCTGTGGGAAGCACAGGAAGTCAAGAACTCTTCCGAGAGGGGTTCCCACGATCGGGGGGAACGAGGAAGGGCCGCTCGGCCGGGGCTCGGTAGTGGGAGCGAGACCGAGAGATGCCGCGCCGCGCGAGAGGGAGAGAGAGGGCGATACTTCTGTACGAGGTGCGCGCACACACCGCGCTCGGGGACAGATGCGGGGACCCTGTGGGAAACCAGCTACGTCGATGCCCCCGATTGTTCCGGGACTTCGTTGTTTGTAAATGCGGCCCCTCTATCGCTAGAGGGTGGCCACGAGATATTAAATTTAATATTCCCAATTACGAGGGTCCGCCTGTATATAATCTATGTGCATAAGTACATCGATACGTGCACGCTATATGGAGACGTCGCTCTGGTCTCTCGGGCACTTTTACTCCCCCGAGGGGGTGATAGGATATTCCAATCGCGGACACTTCGCCGATTACCATTTCGAAATCGATCTCGAAGAGTCACTCGAGTTTCATACTCGGAGTGCAATCTTTCCCGATACGTGTACACGACTCTTACCCCCTTGCACCCTATAGTACTCCTGCAATAATGAACTCGAAATTTCAATCGCGTATTCGTATCACGTTTGTGTAGACTTTCTAATGTTGACCAATTACGCGACTTCACAACAATGGGACATTTTTTCATGCGTATCTATTCGTGTGCGGAAATAATCCGTATGAACTTTAGTCCTGGCTTGGTGTGCGTACCTCGAATCGATCTACTTTCCGATGGCGATCTTTGATATACTATTACAATTACTCGAAAATTATCCTAGAGGGTCTCTTTCTTCCCTTTTTTTTGTTGCCCAGCTGACGCGTGTCATTTCCGCAGTTCGCGCGAAAGAGGGAGGAGCGGAATGATATCTCGCATAATTCGAGGTACATTATGCCCGGAGACGACGTGTTCGTATAAATCGTGTATAAATACGGCTTAGCCCCTCTCTCTATGGGGATCGAAACGGGGTTCCCACGCTACCTGTCCCCTGCTGGCTCCACGCACACGCGTGCGAGTCGCTCCTCGCACACGTCCTTCGAAAGCACACGCTTCGAGCGTGCGTAACCAGACCACGGGGTTCCACGTTAGCGTCTTTATATCGAACAATTGCCTTCTTTAATACCCGCTCTATCTGCCAATTTACAAGTATATAAATATGCGTTAAATCTGTAGAGTCGAAGGAAACATTTTTTTCTGGAGGTTATCCCATAAAACTGGCTAACAAATTATAATCCTATGGGATAAAATGTTTACTGGATGAAATTTAAAAATGGAAGAAATTTTTGTTAAATGTCTATGAACAAACTGAAAAAAAGAAATTCCCACATTCACGTTGTACAATTTGAGACGATTCGCTGTTCCGGGGTCAGTTTCATGGACGACTGACCCTTAACATGCCACTTTTATATCCCCTTAAGGGTTCCACGTCACCTTAAAGTGAAGTTACAGACCCTCAGGAAGAATTGACCGACCCCTGGAGAAAGATCGGGAGGGATAATGCCTTCTCGTTATACGAACAAGTCACGCGAGGCTGTTTGTAATGGCTCCCGTGAAGACACGTAGACTGACCACTGCTCTTTTTAATTCCAGGTCCAGAAGGGTACGACAGTACGAAATTGGCGATGGATTATCACGCCGTGGGCTGGGGCGAGTGCGCCGCCGAGGTAGGGCGGTACCTGGTGACAATGGAGGGCCTGGACGAGAGAGACCCCCTCAGGTTGAGACTTCTGTCCCACCTGCAGAGCTTTCACAGGGAACACCCGCCTCCCCCTGGAGGTCCTGTGCCGTCCGCGCCGTTGACCTCGACCTCTTCGGGTCCTAGCTACGAGCCACCGAGTTCCGCCTCTTCGGGGATGCCTCCTGGCGCCGGAAGTGTGCCTCCCCTTCTCGGTGGAGGAGCCCTAGGATGGGGGCAGTACCCTGGACAGTACCCCCAACAGCAGCACGGAAAGCCTTACAGACCATGGGGAGCAGAGCTGGCCTATTGAGGGATCGATCCCTCCTGAAATAGCAAGCATTATAAATGATGATAGGGAGTTAAGGGTGAAGGATTCAAGATCGACCAGCTAGGAAGGCGCCTCGACGTGGAGATGGTGCCAGGAGGTACCCGGAAATCCGACGAATCCTGAAACATGGAAATTGCCTGCCGAGGGATCGATTCGCTTGGAAATAGCACCCATTGTACACGGTATTTCAGGGTTATTGGTGGAGGGTCCAGGGTGGAGATGAAGGACCTTGGAAAATATTGGTGGAAGTTAATCTTTATCCTAAGCGTGGTATCATTAACGGGGTGCCTAATTCTGATATGAACCGATAGATCAAGACCCTGGATCCTGGAAGTGGTCTATTAGGGGATTGGGAGTTCCCTTGAAATTACGACAATAATCTGGATATTGTTCAGCGAATTTCTAGAACAAAGGGTTCGCATCCTGGTGACCAGGAAGTTAGGATTCTGGGAGAGATCTTCCCTCTCTGGGAGTGTATACGATATCGAGTACAGGAATTATACCTCGGCTCCTCGCCTCTGATTTTAGGGAGCGCGTAAGACCAAAGAAAGCGTTATTGTAAGGATATTGATAGAGTAAGACTTGGACTGTGTGCTTTTTATCAGCGATAACGAGGTACGCTGGTCGCTGATTTTGAAAGATTCGATGCGAGGCTTCCTAATTGTTGCTCCTTTTGACCAGGGTGTTCGTGGAGGGGGAAATTAGCGACGATTGTTGTATATATTTATATGTATCTCCTTGTGCATTTATTTATGTTGTATATATGGAATAATGGTGCCTCGTGAGAGGAATTCCCCTCTTGAGCCTCAGGACGGGCAGGCCGATCGGCCAGGATTCCGCGAGTGATAATATGATAGTCATACAGGTACCTAATAAGAATTTATACGAAGAAGTATTTATTTTGAAATAACGCGCCGAGGTTCTCGGGCCGTTTCCACGGGAGATCCCTTTGTACAGTGTACATACATATTTATATTTTGGGTAAATTGTAAGCCACCGCGCAGAGGGCTGCGAAAAAGCACCCTTTTGAACACGCATTTTGATGAGTGGAATTGCCGCGAGGAATTTCCCCGGAAGTGCCGCCGAGAACCCAATACGCACTTCTGGGGGGCGTTTCGATATTTTTGCAATACACGTTTGTAATAAAGTGACGTTTTGCAAAGAACTACCTCGGGGGTAACTTTCCACATCCACCTTCCACACAATTTCCTGGGGGAATTTTCTTCTTCCCTTTACTCTTGGTTAATTCTCATGAAATAGGGGATAACGTTTACCTTTAATTTCTTAAATTCATCCAAGCCCAAGTTTCGCCCCATCTGAACATCCCGAAGGTTACGGTGATATAATGTATGTATTTTATCGAAGGTTTTTATCATGCAAAATCCTTTTGCGGGAGGGAAATGCAAATCCCCTTTATTGGCTGGGTGCAAAATTCGAACAACCCCGGGTTAGGCAACATCTCCTTTCTTCCGCCATTATGTGCCAACCAGTTCTGGTACTCGTTAGTTTTGCACACGCGCTTGAGCGGAAGATTATTCATGCAAGATGCAAAATATTCCACCGACCGGGAGGAGAAAAAATGGGGGGAGAACAAATAACCCGGTGACAATGTTACGGGCTATCCGGCGGCCAATAGGAGCGGGAGAGATTCCAATTTTGCGGGAATTAGGAATACTGCAGTCGCGTGGCCATTGTTCGCCCTTAGTGTCCATTCTACCCTTACGGAAATTTGCATTCCCTCGACCTCGTTAGTTAGACATTTCTATTAAGGGGCTTTAAACTGACTTTCTGCCAGGTGAGCTTGTCGAGATTTTGGTATTCCGCTGGTCTTTTTATCTCGGAGACATTATCAAATGCCATGGACTTTACGGGATATCATTTAGAGAACTAGAGATAATCAAGTAAAGGTGGCTTTAGGTTGTACATTTTTCCATTACTACCGAAGGGTGGGTATAAAAGAATAATTCTCGTTACAGTCGTATCTTTATTCCGGACAACCTTGAATCGTAATTTCACAGCCTTAATAATACTTAGACTTGTACTATCTATTTACATAGTGTCTCCGCATACATCGTATATCTGTCTATTAAACAGTACTTATATCCTTTTATTTACATAAGATTCTTGTAGGAAGAATATAGTATTCGTCAGTCTCTCGATAGGCCCTATTGAGCAGTTTGTAAATTCACGTGTCATGCACTCAGTTTTTATATTCTTACGTAGATCTTGACTTAGGTACGCATATTTTTTTCTCCTCTTAGTTGAAGTTGTTACTCTAATCCTACTGTAAAGATTTCGCCTTCTGCCTTCTGTAGACCACTTATTCGAGTTTTTAACGTATAGGAACAAAATCGTATCTGTAATACCTCCTCTTTTCACCGTTCGAACACAAGTTGCAAAAATTTACCTAAGGTGGACTTTTGATCGTTTGATGTACGTTTTAGTCGCTATTGCACAAGAACGCAAAACTAACTACAAGCGAAGTCGATGCCTACAATCGAAATGTAAGCCACGGTACAAAGTAACCGCGGAAAAGGTGCACCTTGTAAAAATAGCCCGACGCAAGGCTAATCGATATGGCTCACGGGAATTTTTTTCCTTCTATTTCCCTGGCTTAACAATTGCGAGGTGTAAAACTGATAAATGACCGAGTTGAACCAAAGGAAGAACCTCTCCGCGAAGAATCTCATTTCCTAATAGAATTCTTTTAAACTGGTGGGAGTCGATTCCCGATACCCCTGGTCTTCTGGATTTCGAGGATATATTTTTCCGAAAAATTTCACGTCACCCACCACCCAACTTGTAGAATGTCTCTTCATAGATCTGATGCTCCCGATAATGGTATCAGCAAGGAGAACAATCGTAATCCAGTCGGCTAATACGTGTCCACATATCTGGCACCCTGAAGTGCTAGGTACAACAATAAGTACTTTTATTCTTCTTCACGGTCCTGCAAGAAATAAGTCCACACAATCTGTGCCATGTCCTGATTGATACACTTGATAAGGTAGAGGTAATCCGTTGATAGGTACTTTCACAAGAGAGATATGAATGTCCTCTTCAGCGACCTCGTGAAGGCGCCTGGATTTGAGTAATCATATCATTTTCTATGTTCCCTCGGTTCTGCCCTTCGTTTATCTCCTGCCCCTGCTATTACACGCTGATAATAGCAAACAGAACAAACATCCGCGTCTTCTTCGGCCCCCTCGGGAATGAACTCTGAGTTAAATGATCATCTCATTTTCTCTGTTCTCGTTCTTTTGGTTCTCCTCATGTTCTATGCACCAGTAGCAGCAAGGAGGACACTCGTCCATGCCTTCTGCGACGAACGTGACGAAGGTATCGACGCTTCTTGCGTCGAAGGATGCCAAAGACCATGCCAAGGATTCGGCATCAGGATCCTCCAAGGTAGAGATCCACTTCATCCGCGCGACGTCATCGAAATTCTCATCCCGTTCCTTTTTCGACTTCCGACATCTCTCCGAGAGCTTCTTGAATGCCTGGAACGAGAATCATAGCTATATCACTGATCATGAATCATAAATAACCTCTCCAGGAAGCTCTTATCCTCCCTGGGGTGAAGAGGGTCTTTTTTTAGAACGCGTGACGAGAAAGCTTCCGCATCCAGGGATCTGAAATTCCGACATTGCCTCCACGTTAAGTGCTCATTGATTTCCAGCTGGATAAAGGTCATGGGTGGTGGGATTCGATTTTGCCCCTACGTGATAAGCCTGGGAAATTGGACTCTCGAGCGCCGCCTCTGATTGGGAATTCCACCCGGCCCTTAAAAATGATGGAATATTTAATTGCTCGTTATTGTGCGGACGTACTGATAATACCAGAAGGCTTAATGTTCAGGAGTCCATAGAGACCTCCGTTATTCATGACTCCGTTATTGATGGCGAGGTATTGAGCGGTGTTAATTGCAAAATAAAGGAAGGTGGATGCCGCAATTACCGGTGCTTAGTTCGGTCCCTTAAAGTGGAACTATGATGGAATTTCCTCGAGGAAGAAATATCGTCTGCTAGAAATCAATACAGTCCCTTTCGTCAACTTTGCTTACAATGACTAGACGCGATTATCGACACGTAATTGTGCCGATAATGCTTGGTGATCGGTTGGAAACTAATGAGGATCGCGAAGGTTTTCGGTCCATGGACCCTGTATACTCGAAGTTAGTTAATTTTTAAGCGATTTCAGCAATCGATACGTGCTAAATATCTATTGAAACGTATCAGGCTGCTCACGGTCAATAGGAAGTGCGCAGCTCTCTTTACCGAAACAGAGAACAATAATTCGATAACGCATCTGTGGCCTTCGTTAGGAATTATTTTCCGTTTCCTCCCGATACAAAGATAGAAAATCCTAGAAAATTCTTCGGACTGTCCGAGTTTTTTATACTATTGTTAGTAAAGGTTGCAGACCGGATCGGAAATATCCGAAAACGTGGCCACCACGAATGAACAATTGAACAATTTCTGGATGAGATTAATTGCGCACTTTTTGTGATGACATGGATGACAATATTAATGTCAGTGACAGGTGGATATTCCGCTATTCAGGTTTCTGATTAAATTCGGAAGCTCACCCTCAGGATCCTTCTTCCGGACTTGCCGAGGACCTTCTTCAGCATGTCGATAACGTCACAGTGGACGTCACGTAGACGTCACGAGGCCGGAGGCCCTCGAAAAGTAGGGCAATCGATGGGCAAGATCTCGTCGAGGGTGGTATCGATAATTAGCGATTTGCAGCTGGCCCGTACTCCGATCTGCAATTAAATCTTGCGAAATTACCCCGAGAGGGGGGAACTCTCGGGATGCGCCGCGACGTTCGCACGGGGGTGGCTCGCGTCGAAATGCTGGCCTGCGGGGTTGCGCGGCCCTATATATAAGCTCGGCCTCCCCCGCTTATCAGAGACGTGAGGGTGCCCCACCGCCTATCAAGAGGGTGGCCTTTATGCCGGGGTGGGTGCCCCACCGTGTACATACACACGAAACATGCTTTCTGCACAATCGCCACATGCCTGCCGCACGTTTGCTACACGTTTATCGCATGTTCCCTGAATGTATATCGCATGAGCGATATCTAACTCCGTGATTAAATCCATGGAAAGCATTGAAACTTGCACGAGTGACCCTGACTAGCATGTGCCTTGGAAAATCCTAAACAAAATATACGTACACGTGGGTGGGTGCGGATATTATGTTTGATACGTACACGATAAAAAAAAATGGAATTTACTCTTGAACGATGGAAGGATTTATGCCCGGCTCCCCCAAATGGGAAAATCTTGTAGCCCTTTATTCGTACCCTAGTTCATCCGGGCGCATGTCTCCAACGTGGAATAATAATCTGTCATAAACGACGAATTGATGTTGATGTCAAAGGCTTTTGCAATCAGCTTGCAAGGAACTTTCGGCTACTTGTAAAAATGATTTCGCCGAGGTTGGTCGGCCCTCACTCTCGTTTCGTACTTGGAACATGTGCAGAGATAGGGGGTTACACTTAGCGTGTGACTTTAGTATTCGCCCGGCTCCCGTAATTGTCGCAATGGCTGGAGGAGAGCACATACGCCTATATGCCCCCTCGGGGACCCCGCACAAGAGCCGGGGGCCGAGATCGAATTGAATTAACGCGGATTTGATCGATAGTCGAGATATCTCGGCGGCGAGAATTATTGGTTATTGAGAGTATGTTAATTCGATTGGACCGGCCCAAGAGCGATCGGATGGTGCGCTTTCTCTCCAGGAAGGGCGACCCGTCGATTGCCGATATTTCGCACCCCGCTGAAAGGGGCGCATATAGACATTACCGAATTATGCATAAGAACGGATCGTTAAACCGCAGAAATAGTATACGACTATACGCTCCGCTTGGCCATTCCCAATGATTTCCAACGATTTACCCTAAAGGGAAGCAGACTCAGCAATTACACTTCCCAAAGAAAAAAGACTAGTTGTCCGAAACAAATATACACCGTCGCCCGAATCGTATATAATTGCAAGGAACAATTACCTCGTCGAAAGAAAAAATTAATACCGACCACCGAATTATGTTAATTTAATCTGACATTTCTTTGCGCGTATTCGATCCCGGGATATTATTAACCCAATGCATGTTTCTTTAAGTCAACTTCTTTTTTTTTTTTCTTTCTCTCAGTGTACTTCGAACTTGGGGAATATTCTGAAAAATTTCCTGACACCAAATTTGGTTCGGCATTCTCATTTCTCGTGAAGTGGTATCAATGAAAGCTATGTTAGAATTACTCGTTAACTCGACTGTATATTCTCTCTATGTACGTTTAACTGACCTCCGACAACGAGTTCCCGGCGATAATCTCGCGCGTGCACAAGAAGCCGTTTCGCAGATAATCGTGGACGCGACTATACGAGAGAACGAGTCCCAGGAATTCGAAGCAACAGGTCGGATGCTCCTTCGAGCATTCGTCTATCTTTCGTCTCGCATCTTGCATCGCCGCGGCCGCGAAACTGCGTTCTCGGCCGCTCGTTTTTCGGTGTATGCGGAATATACGTGCACGTGCACGCGCGAAGTGGTCACATATATACCGATAAATCGGCGCGCTTCGGCCGAAATTTCAGGGAGCACGTGGCCGCGCGTGCACGCTGTCCGCGTGCGAGCGACGCCGTTCTCACGCGTCGCCACGCGTCGGCCGCGCCCCTCGACGCGCGGCGCCACGTGCCGATTGATATGCCCACAGAAAACTCGTAATTGTCATTACATCGGGCCCGGACCGCCCCGCGATCGACGATTGTTGTTATTTAATGCTAAACATTAAAGCACTAACCTCCTTCAAGGCGTAATTAAAAAAAGAAAAACAATCCCGAAGTACCCCGCGATACCAAAATGGCCGACCAATATTTACTCGACTGTTCTACTATGAATTAGTTCATTCCGGCATGGGTTTCAGAGGCCGCGGATCAGGAGGTTATGAACTTTGAGGTTGTTAAGCGTTATCGAAATGGCGATATGCCTTTTTGGATAGTTCGTACGGATTTTAAGATTGGAACGGTGCGTGATAACGTTTAATCTTGGCGGAAGAGTAGGTTTAAAACGGTGTCCGTGAGATATTATGGCGTCCGAGGGCTGGGGGTCGCCGCTTCGATTAGTCATAGAGTTGTTCAAGATGGCGAACTCGTCGCCCTTGGTCTTACCCCGGACCCTTATCGAGGCACGCTTCCACGCCGGCCGGTGCAGCGGCGTCTAATCATGTTCAGGGGAAACAATTGCGAGCGGCGATGAGGTAACGATCGACGCGTGTCGTCCACGTGGCCCGAATGCGGCCTCGTCCAGGACTCGTATTCACCGAAAATAAGCCTTGCCTAATTGCGCCGCCACTGCCATTAGAGATTAAACTTCAAAGTAGAGATGAACTTGGCAGGGCCGGCGCGCCGGGGTTAATTAATGCGCAGCTTTACCGCGAGATATCGGGTAACCAGCATCGCAGAGGTCCGCCATTATCGCGTGGCGAGGGACCCGAACGAAAGCCAATAGCCTTTGTATGCCTGGATGCCGTAAACCATGGGAGAAAGAACTCGAACCTCCGAGATTGGCTACATCCGATCGCGATAATCTCGAGAGCGTGCAGCTTCGAGTACCGAAAGCGGATTTATATTCGCAGGGAAGATATAGGGAGGAGGATTCGGCTTTATTAAAAAACAACGGAGAATGAGGATAGAAAGCGCCTTGGAATGAGTCTGAAACTCGGGAATGGCAAAGTTCAGGGGAAAATCACTTGAAACGGGCCTCTATGCGACAGGGTCGAGGTTAATGCGCAGTTTCGCCGCGTTGCAGGAGTCCGCCATCTTGTCGCGTGCCGGGGGACCGAAGCCCCGACTTTTGCGAGGAGATTCGGGCTCTCCATTCGGCGGTTCTAATATTTAACGGGATGCATGAGTTGCACCGATTGTAAAGTAATGTTTACGGATCGCGCTTTAAGTAATTAGGACCCTTCCCCGTTAACGGAAAGCAAACGGGAATGACGCGTCCCTCCAAGGATTTGTCGGCGCAATCTCGCGCCGCCATTTCGACGGTCACGTCCGCCGAGACCGCTTCTCGTGAACTGGCAATCTGAACTAGTCGACGATCGGTCCGGTAAATATTTGAAAAGCTCCATTCATGATTGGCGGCACGTAGCGTTGTTTGTCCCTAGTTAGGCCGAGAGTCCGAGGATTCCTCCTCGACACGTATCTACTCATTGGCAGGTAATTCTAATAGATGCGTTGTTCACATTTACACAAGCAAAAGTAACATTCGTAAATGCAACAGCTGATATAGGTCGGATTCTCCGGTAGACATTCCCTGATTTTCAATGATTTTCGCTATTCTCTTCCAGGTATCTCGGAGTTTTCCAAGCCATGCCATTTCTCCGCCATCGCGCCATTTGTCCTTTCCCCTAGAGCGAAGGGATCGAAGAAAGCGCTCGCTCCTCATTGGCACGTGACCGAGCGTGCAGGGCGCATGCGCTTCGGAGGACGAGGCCGATGCGCGGGCGCACGGGCTCGCACACTCAGGGGGTGGCGTTAATCCTTTGGAGTGTGAAACGCGTGGGAATCACCTCGACTCAAGCCTCACACGCGACCCAGCTCGAGGTGGGGGCCGCCCACGGTAAGTGTAAATACAAGGGCTCTCCCGAAATCTATCAGGCAGAGGATAAAGGAGGGTAGGAAGATATTGATCTTTTTAAATTCGAAATCCTTTCGACCGACTTTGGAAACTCGAACAAAACTGTCATCATCGCCAGCTTTAGGGAAATTCCTGGGAGAAGAATGAAGAATTCAGAAAGATTCCGAATTCGATGTTCGAGCGGATTGAACCGTCAGAATTTCCTTCGTAAAAAGCGTTAATAGGAAATCGTTTAATATGGAAAATAGCTCCTGAAGAATGTGGGAAGCGAGTTAGTAAAACGACGTTAATATGTAATCCTTCGTTTTATTATGAAACTTCATTATCTCGTTAGCCTTAATTTTAATATTTTACAAAAATAAATATATCTAACAGCGGCTTTGAAAACGTATCGTTTCCAACGTTTACGCAATCCTTAAGCGCTAAGTGGACGTACATCCGGCAGAGTAATATATTAGAGTTATGTAATATTTAAGATATGATCCCATCGCGAAAATGTCTAATGAATCTTGTAGTTATTAAATGCATTCAAGAATTGGCTTGTGCAACAACGCCGGATTGTAAGGAATACTTTCAACATTACCTGGTAATAACATAGGCGTTGCCTTAACTCGAAAATCATACGGAAGGAATTCATAGCAAAAGTGATAAAAGTCGTTACGAGTTTCAATGATTCCTAGACGAGCCATGTACTTCATCAAAGCATCGATCTCACTTGCATAATTTCGATACAGCTTACGCCTGATAGTAAGACTCACGACCTCTGACAAGTTAACGATGAACCTTTCCGACTTTATCCGAGTTTCAAGCTTGTACCTTGGCTCCATACGTTTCCATAGAAATTTATACAAACGATCCGTAACCCAGGGCTTCGGTCTTGGTAATTTAGGCCTTTTGTACAATTTGCCGTCCACTATGTATGCCTTATCGACCAGTTTAAGCGGATCACTCGCCTTCGGTTTTAACGATGGTTCCTTTTTTTTCGGTTTTACCAGTTTCGCAAGCTTTTTTACGGCCTCGTGAGCTTCCATCCGATTCCGATTTAAATCTTCCAAAGCTTTTTTCTTGATCTCTTCTACTTTCGCCGTGATCACCTTCATTTTCTCAGGGTCTTGAAAAACATCTTTACACGACTGCGAACCCTGCCACGTATTGGCTCCGGTTATAGACTGGTTCTTAAACATGTCTAAAATGTTACGTTGTGAACTGCGAAGACTTACTTTCTTGGGCTTTTTCGTAACATTCGCGACAGACTCTATTCTTGTTAAATGGACTCTAGGAACTTTGTTATCGCTTGTATGTCGTTTAAGTTCTGACACTTTACGAGTCAGTGTTTTTTCAATCTGTGTTTCACTCTCCATTGATTCGTTTGCAGTTTCAACAATTGGACAATCAACATTCATCATGGAGCTTTTATCTTTATTTAAGCTTTTAGATTTGCGTATTAAATCAGGACTTGGAACGGTTTGTAATGTGAGTGTTTTGCTACTGGGAGTACTAGTACCATTGCTGATGTTCTTATTGAGTTTTCTGATCTTGGGGTCTACATCCTCCAGGTTTTCACTGTGTGACATTTGTAGGACTATTTCAGAACTACTTCTATGCTCCGAATCTGCTCCACCACCGATCTCATCTGCATCAATAGATTCAATGGATTCATGTTTCTTTAGTGTAGAGGTATTGCCATCAGTAGTTCGTCTTATATTCTTTGTGTTATCATCTCTAATCGTACTTGTAGTTGCGGTTGATTTTCTATGATCAAAATGTAATTGTAATTCTTCATCTTCACTGATTACATTGGAATCTTCATTTTCATGAAGGGAAGGGTGATGCAGTGTGTCAATATTGGTGCTCATTTTTTTGCTAATACTTGGTTGATAATCTGAGACATAGGGAGAATTACTTTTCAACGTGTCTCTGCTTTGCCCCTTATACAGATGCTGACTATGATCACTAATATTAACATTATCGATCATAGCACTGTTTTCGGGAACTAAAGATGACATCTCTTGTCTAGATCTCATTGATCTCTTTGTGATTCTATTAAGTTTTGAGTCATTTGGTTGAATGGTCTCAATTTTATCAGGCTTGTGTCCAGTGGAAGATCTTAGTGAAACCGCTTTTAATGTTGTATTACTTTGCCTCTTATCCGAATGTCTACCAATATTGATCGTATGGCTATTCTCAGTGTTTTCCTTGATTGGACTTAAATCGTACTCCGCTCTGACTGCCTTTTCAGGGATTGTGTCAATTTTTGAACTATATAATTCAGAAGCCATAAGAGGTGTCGTAACTCTGGAAGACTCCCTGTTTTCTGCCTCCATTTCAGTTCCCCGCTGAACACTTTGATTGACTATTTCAATATTATCATCGTTTTGTTCAATGAAATTAGATTCATCTTTAGATTTCTCAATACTTTTATCTGCGAATGCATCTTTGAATTTACTAGTTCCTAAACTTCTTTTCTTTCGTTTTAGAACAGCAAACCTTGATTTAATTATTTGATTTGAAATTGAGATAGAACTTTCGTTTGTATCACTAGACTCCTTTTGTAAATCTATTGATTTGTGATTTAAAGGAGAAGGGCTCTTTTGTTGATTTAACGATTCATCTTCCAGTACAACATCAAAAGCATTTTTCTTAGAATTTTTGTGTCGTTTCTTCAAGAGAGTAAATCTTGATTTCAGATCGTTAGCCTTCTTAACACCAAAATTTTCATTTTTATTAGATTCTTCTTGTGAACTTCTTGATGAATCGAGATTGGTTAATGAATTATTAGTGTGCAGTGAATGCTGTAGAGTTCTTGTGAGTTTCTCGTTTTTCATTACATCAGGAATATTTTTCCCTAAATTATGTTTTTGTTTTAATAAAGTACGTTTATATTTAACGATTTCGCTTACGTTCTCGGTTTTACTACTATTTACTGAACTTTCAGCTTTATGACTTGCACCATGTAAGGGAGTACCACTATAATCAGATTTGTGCATTCTTGACTTTCTTGTTGTTCCTTCATCCGACCAAAATGGACTTTCAAATTGTTTTAATTTTTTTTCCCTTATAGGAACTGGTTCAGATTCAGCTGCAGTTCCAGATTTATCTAGTGTGTTGCGTAAGGATTTCTTTTGGCGAAGCATTCTTGAACGAACTTTGAAAGCATGTTTTCGTTTCTTTACCTCTCTAGATATTTCAGTTTCAGACTCGGATGATAGTAACTGTTGATTTAATTCTGAAGAAACAAACAAAAATTATGAAATATAAGGGATGAACTCCTTAATTCATTCGGGTAACCATTACTATAAGTAAAGGAAATGAACGTTACTTGTAGCTGAGCCAATGCTAGTTCTTTTTGTAAAAATAGCCTTATGAAAAGTTTGATCTGATTTATTTAAATGTGTCCACCATTCCTTATCGGACAAGGACGCTTCAACTGCCGAATCAGCCTGTAAGTTGCTCGTGGTATTTTCCAAATGGCCGAATAAAACCGACTGGCTTGGTTGTACGGTTTCATTGTCTAGATTTTGCCACCAGTCCGATTCTTCTATAATGAAATTATTAACATTCCATGTTATCAACATACATTTAAATTTGATTTTACTAGGTAAACGACCCTTTCGTGATCACTTACATCTAGTAGTTATTTAAATAAACAATTACTAAGAGTTAAATTTGTCCTTTTAAAAAGGAACCAATATATCGACAATACATTTACCTTCTCCGAATACATTAGAATCTCCAAGAATACCGGAAACATTACTTGATCGTCGTTTTAGAGATCGTCTATTAAGACTCTTTCTTCTAGCCATCTCTATCAAATCTGCAGAATATAATTCCAATGAAAGCGTACAATAACCAGTAATTAACAATTCAAATCCGTTGACCTCTGAAAAACTGTAAACGTATATGAACGAACGTTTGACACAAGTAAATCTGATAGGTAGTTAATGAAAACCAAGAAACGTAAACATTTGATATTAACCTATTGGAACCAGAAACGAGTTAAGAGAACATTCACGGAAAGGGTCGCGCGATCGCGCCTGTGCTGCCTCGGTGGAGAATGTGAGCAGCAGATGCACTGTGGCGATGGGGATGCTGTTAGAGAAATGGAGGAAACATTGCTAGTATATGCATTCGTTTAGGTGTATCCACCGCCAAATGGCAGAATCGCGGGAAACGAAAGTGGAACTCGAAGGCGGCGTCACCGTTCGGCGTCCGGTACGGACCGGACATGCGCGTACTCCCGAAAGCAGTCGCCATCTTAGACGAACCGTGTCGAAAATGTCCGCGCTTGGTCGTAGAGGTTCGCCGTGGCGAATTTAACTCCGAGTGATCACCGACGCTCGCCCGCCTTTCGTGGCACCATTCGAGGCAAGGGCAAGTCAATCGACGCGGTCGCCGCGCCTATTAGTCCGGCCGGGATTGCCGCGGCACAGTGAGAGGAAAAATGCCAGTTTCCGGGTCGCCGCGGTGAGAGAGGATCGAGTGTCGCAGTTGCGCGACCGACGGAGAGAGAGAGAAAAAGAGAGAGAGGGAGAGAGAGCCTTCCGGGAATACGGAGTGAAAGTCGCGAAGTTCCGCGGGACCAGCTGCGTCGCGCCCGCTTCGGGTGGGTAATTTGATAGATCGATTGTCGAAGCGTCCGCGTGCCGCGAGTCGACGAGTCGTCGCCGTCGTTCGGCGGGCCGCGCTGGTCCGCGTAGGGCCGCCGCGCCGACTCGCATTCCCCGGCCGGTGCGCGGTCCGGCTGCGGCCGCGGATCGACCCAGTGCGGAGGTGTGTGCCTCGGCTCGGGCCCGAGGGACGACAAAGGGCTCGCGGCCCACCGCCATGTCCGCCGCCGTGACGCGCAATCGCGGCCGTCACCGGCCTCGCCCGTCGCCGTGCCCGACCGGCCCCGAGTCGCGTCGCGTCTCGCCGCGTCGGGGCGCCCTCGCGCGTCCTGTCGAGCGAAACCGGTTCTCGCTGCCCGGGCACGCCGAGGTCGCCGCACCTCGCGCCGGCGCGATCTACGCCCGCGGAGCCTGGCGCGACGGTCAAGGTCGCGAGCGAGGTCGCGCGCCTCGCACCGTCGTATCCGCGCGATCTCGAGTGTCGCCGAAAGATCCGGTTCGAGGTGTCGGGTAAGACTTGCCGAAGGCCCTCGTCGGTACCTCTTCCATTGTCCTCGGAGGAGGCGTCGCGATGAACGGCTTCGGTTCGCACCAAGGTCGCCACCTTAGGTCGCGTCGCGAGTATTCGCGACCTCGAGGGTCGCCGACGGTACCTCGGCGTCGAGTGAGATGGCTTCTGCTCGACGACGGCGAGCCGGAATCCCGTACCTTGCCCCGCGTCGCGTTTTGGCCTCGAGTGTCGTCGATGTCCTCGATACCTCCTCGGGTACCGTTCGACGAGGGTCCATGTCGAGACTCTGCGTCGCCTCTCACGTTGTCGAGTGTCGCCAGTCGGTCGTAGGCCTCGGCACGAGCTAGAGGTGGGACTGGAACTTTGTCGGGCCATGGTTGTTCTCCTGGTGCGACGTCGAGTAGTCTGGTCTTGCCATTTGGGATGGATGCAATGCCTCGTGTACGTTGCAACCATGGCCTCCGCGAGTGCCTCGAGGTAGACCTTTCCTAAAGAGGGTAATAAAGAACTGTTTCTATTGTTCGGCTTCTCCGATTCGTCGCTTAAATATCTTGCTTGAACGCGACTTTGGTTCCCGATGTTTCTACATTTCTTTTTCATAAAATGTTCACATCGCCGGTTCGCGTAAGCCCTGACACTTGCCGTCGTCTGAGTGGCAATGGAACGACGGTCGTCGCGGTTCCAGGGCGGCGATAGCGGTCGGTAATGTTTCGTGTTGTTTGTTTACGTCGGTCAGCTTGGGTCATGTTCCGGATGGTATCGGTACCCAACCTTATTTATCGAAATAGCTGGCAAGCCTCGAGGACGAGCGGAATGGCTCTTCTTGCTGACATATGACGATTATTGCGAAGTGTAATCGTTATGGCCATCCTGTCATATTATTATGAGAACTAACGTCTTCACTACTCTCGTAGGAGTTTGGATCGACCATTCTACGTGCCACTGGATCTTCTGACACCAAACATATACCGGTACGTTGGATGACTAGGCATTACCGTTTCTTTTTGTTCGTTTAAATTATCTTATAGATAAAAAACAAAGAGCAGGAATCAATAATCGATAAAAAATTAGATGTTCAATCTATACTTTTCAGGGATGTCGCGGGACTATGACAGCAAACGAAGAGGAGCTAGTAGCAGTGGTGCAGGCGCCGGCAGTAGCAGCAGTACGACCAGCAAGCTACGAATGGATTCAAATTCGTCTCAAACAAGGGCGCACGAGAGAGGAGAGAGTTCGGGGAAGAGACGAGAACTAGATTGCATGATGCGCAAGGCAAGGGAATCTCAGTCCAGTTATTGGAACAAAAAGCTCCTAGAGGTCGAAGAAAGGGATCCTAACAGATGGCGTCACAGCGGATACAAGGAGCTTTATGTGGGAGGAGCGACTTCCAGCGAGGCCAGCAGAGGACATCCTCGTAGTCCTAGGAGTCCCAGGCCACGTAGTCCTCACAGCCCTCGACCCAGGAGTCCTCGACCTCGAAGTCCTCGATCTCCGCGCGAGCGAACTCGAGAGTCAACTCGCGACAACAGAGCTCGACCAGCTCGCAGCCCAAGTACCGGAAGTACTTGCTCCGACAAGTCGTGTTCCGTGTGTTCACCCAAGGAGCGTCGTCGGGTCGCGGCTCCTTCACGGTCGCGGTCGAGATCGATTACGCCGGTTCGATCTCGAGGTCATCCAAAGGATGTCACGCCGTCCAGTTCCCGAGCGCCTCCACCTCGTGGCAGACCTCGGTCTCCACCTTTGCCTCGACCGAGGACCCCTCCTCCGGCTCCGCAGCCTCCACCGAGACATCACAAAGACTACAAGGCTGTTAAGGAGAAGGAAACCACGAAAGCACGACGTAAGGAAAAACATCACAGCAGAATTCCAGAGGATCCACGAATTCCGGATCCTGTTCCTGTGGTGAGTTTGCTGATTTCTTTCTCCTAAAGTGGCTCAACTGCCAGATGCTTTATCGAGTGCCTTTATTTTATTATCAAGATATTAAATGTCATTCCAAAAATCAACTTATATGATTTATTTCATGTTTGCCTTAGGTGTTGTATGTTTCGTGTCATTGGTTTCATTTTATTACATCATTATTTTAGGTGTAATGTACACATCAGAAAAGGAATTATCTTGAGAGGTAGAACACGGTATTAGTTGTAGTCAGTTGTAAATATGTAAATTAATAATTTATGTAGATGCGCAAAGCTGTAAAAGTAGAAAAGATACACACAAATCATGGACCGCCACCCATGCTGCGACCACCGCCGGATTCGTCGCCCAGTGATGACAGCGATAGCTCATCGAATGCTTCTCATGTAGGGCCTCCAAGGATGACGTTGTCTGAAAGGTAATTAAAATTCTAACAAATATAGTTTTGATGACACTTAATGGGATTGTTATACGATATGATTTATTCTTAGTCCACTGAATATAGGTTACATTTGAATTAAGTTTACAAAGAAATTAATAAACGATGCTTTTCAGATTTGGCAAGATGGCTCAGTGGAGCGTAGACCGCAGAGACATGGAAAACATGAGGATTACAAAGGATGGTCAAAATGCCATGAAAGTAGTGATAGAAGGCGAAGAAAGAATCGCTCGTTTAGGTTATGACTCGCCACCTCCAGGGCACTATCCTGAATCTCTGATGTCGCAGGGCCCCAGAGGGTTGGAATGTTGGGACGATGTCCGGGTTCGCTACGATTATTATAAGGCTAGAGGTTATCTGCGGGATCTTACTTTAGACGACTACATAAAGTGGGAAGAATGGTGGTACAAGTACCAGGAGTGGTTAGAAGCGGAAAGGTTCTACGAGCAATGGGCCAACTCGAGTCGTTCCACATCGGCAACTGGCGGAGGCGGAAGTGGAAGTGGTCGCAAGAGACGTGGTCGACGCAACAACAGTGCTCATTAGGTTTTAAGTGCCAAGAGCTATCATTGTCGGCTGAACACTTTGGCAACGCAAGTGACATTCGTAATTTAACTACCATCGAAGTACAACTTTATAAGTTTGTTTGGTAACTAGACTATGAATGTAGTTGGTGCTGCAGATCTTTGCAGCATTAAACTCCACTATGCCGAGATGGTTACGATGTACTCTAAACGATGTGTTGTGCTTAGGCGTGGTTTATGCTATCAGAAAAAACTATGTATACGCGCTATATACATCGCAATAAAATATATGACAGTGCTATAGTTTCAGCTTGTAAGGGATATTCAAATATTGATTTGATTCAAGTGTTAAGTAGACGTTTATTTTCATGAATTTTCAGTAAAACTTGTCAAAAGCTATGCACTCAAAATTTTTCAATTATAAACATTGGTACAAAAGTGAGTTCAAAGGATCGAAGAATATAAAATGAATATTGATGTACAATCTCCTTTAGCAGTAATCCTAATAAAGTAATCGCTATATACTGTTATTATTACATCATTATTCATTTAGAATGGAAGAAAAAGCAGATAAGTTGTGGATTTAAAAAATTTCTTTATTGAGATCAATTGGTATCTGAAACAAAACAGAAGATATTTAACGTAAATATTATTTAAAGTATCATATGGCTCGATTGTTTATTGAGGTTTTCTCCTCAGTGGCTATGTGCCTGGGATTTTGATGAAATTGTGGTTTCGATCAAAAACTACCAGGTGGATGGGATGCCAACCCCTACCAAGAGCCCAAAACTCACACTTTTGTTAAGACAGCGTCTGATTAAATTGTAAAATATAAGCAGGATTGCCAATTGAAACTTAGAATGAACTTTCTTTAGAAAAACAATACTTGCAACAAGAGAACAAAATAATCAGTTGCTGACTTAAGATAAAAAGAATGAGCAGAGAGCTCTATACACACCATATTAATCTTCGGGAACTTCTAGCTCTCCAGCTTTAATGTCTTCAATGAGGTCATGGGGAGGCCTTCCTTCCACTGTACATCCAACGGACTGGGAGGTTCCTAAAATCTCTTTTACAGTCCCACTGAGTTCACGTGACATCGAACGTGGCCTCATAGCCCTGGCAATTGCTATGACATCGTCAAAACTCAGATTTCCACTGTGTTTAATATTTTTTTGTTTCTTGCGATCTCTTGGCGGTTCTTTCAGAGCCTTTATAATCAAAGAGGCTGCGGAAGGAACTACTGATATCGTAGCTTGCCTATTTTGAATTGTCAGTTGGACTGTAATTTTAAGCCCCTTCCAGTCACTGGTGGCCTTAGCAATGTCATCGCCGACTTTTTTAGGAGACTAGAACATGATAAATTTATTATGTTAAAAAGTAATATTTTACATTGATATGGAAAAGATAGTAAATGGATATGGATATAAATATCTTTGAGAGGGAGTCAAACTTTGTAAATTAACAGTCCTTGTTTAAACGTGATAATTAGCATCGACACTAGATCTGATATGAATGAATGCCTTCACTGGAAACCACGTGAAAGATATAAGAGTAAAAAGTTTAACCAAGTGAATTTCTGAACGCTCACCAAACCAAGGGGACCTATTTTAGGAGCCAGCGAGGATGTTGCTCCGACCTCTCCTCCCACACACCGCAAAAATACTAAAGAAAGAAATTGATCATATGAATCACACTACAGAAAATATTTCTTCACAAATTAATAAGACGGTATAAATTTTCTCTAGGAAAAATATACCTTTCTTGACCTCAGTAGGATCGAACTTGGGTGGCATTGTGAATTATTATTGTACACAAAACCCTTAATACAATGCCGATGCAGTCAGATTTAAAGTTGACTGTACGCGGTACCCAACTATCCTTGAGGCTCAACGCGAAAAGACCGGATGCCGCAACGGCGCCATATATTTCTGAACGCATAAACCAGAGTCTAATAGAGAGTAGTCATCCGAGATGAGTTGGGAGATTGCTCACGGGCAGGGTTGCGCGATCGCATCCTGTGCTGCTCCCCAGTGGAGGATGTGGACAGCTAACATACTTGCCACCTGTTACACCTCAGTGGCGGAACAACACATCCCCCCACATCGGGGGGCAGCACAGGTTGCGATCGCGCGACCCTGCCCGTTAGCAGTCTCCCAACAGTCCCAACTCATCTCTGAGTAAACCTGGGTAAACCTTTAACTGAGTTTTGACGAAAAACGATTTTATTTAGAAAAAAGTAAAATGCATAGACACAGTAATAATGAATATAAAAGCCGGGATGAACCACCTGCAGAACTGGAAAGTCAATTTGTTATGCGGTTACCACCGGTGTGTATTTAGGTTTCCTATTATGTAAAATTGTAACCTTTAAATTTTTGAGTGACATTCGTTAAATTTAGTAATTTGTGTAATAAAGGAGCCAGCAAGAGTACTGCGAGAAACACTGCGCAGTGCACTACCACTGAAAGATAGATTAAGCATCAAGTTAGAAAATGATATGCGTTATGGAGAGGTTAGATTCGATCACTGGTTACTCCATGCCAAGGTGAGTTTTCCAACACAATTATTAATTGATTGTATTTTATTTCATTAATTTGTAAAGTGTTAATATTTTGAAGGATTCTTTATTATTTACAGGTTGTAGATCTACCTACTGTAGTAGAATCATTAAAAACAATTGATAATAAGAGCTTCTATAAAACTGCTGATATCTGTCAGGTAGATGCCAAGAATTTTACAATACACTAGCTAATATATTATTCTAATTGCCTTAACCTTGAATTAATTTCTTTTATTCACTTTGCTTAGATGGTTTTATGTAAGGAAGAAGATGATCAAACTACAACTGACGAAGAATCTCCTATTAGACAAAAGAAAAAAGATCCTAATAAAGTGGATAAAAAGTTTTTGTGGCCACATGGTATAACCCCACCAACAAAGAACGTAAGACGTAGACGATTCAGAAAAACCCTTAAAAAGAAGTATGTTGAAGCTCCTGAAATTGAAAAGGAAGTGAAACGATTATTAAGAGTTGATAATGATGCAGTCAATGTAAAGTGGGAGGTAATATGTGAAGATGAAGATCAAACAAAACCTAATAAAGTATCATCATCCGGCACGGTTAAGACAAAAAGAGAAAATATTGATGGAAATAATTCTCAAAGTGTTGATGTTGGTAAGTTTAGTGCAAATGTTAATAATATAATTATCAGACAAGTATTTTACTAATTTTGTTACTTTATAGCGGAACATGATATATTTGGTGAAGCTGTCAGTGACAGTGAGGATGACGACGATGAGCCAAATATCAATGTAATGGAATTGGATGAGAATAGCCGATTATCTGTTGATAGTAGAGTTTCCGATTCTAACTCTATGCAAGTTGGATACTCGGAACGGGCAAGCAATAATCCTACAACAAGTCATGATCTTGTAACAGAGTTTAGTAAAGAAATGTTTCAAGGTAGCAGTAATGGTGGTGGAGACGGTGACAAAGATTGTGTTGAAGATGGAACAAAAATCCCTAAGTTGGAAGACTTTCACTCTGAATATATTGTCCCTGATAATTATTCTGAATCACAGTCTATTTCAAAAGGTATAATGTGCAATTAGAAAATATATCCAATGCTAGTACTTTGAGATGGACAATCTCTAATTAATACATTACATTCCAGATTCGTTGCAAGCTCGTTTGGAAACATTACACATGGAATTGAATGAATTACGACAACGAAGGCAGCAACAAGAGCTTGAAATAGCTAATATTGAGAATTTCAAATTGAGGCAGCGGTTCCAAGAGATTTTGGACAATTTACTTACACAAGAAATGCAAAAGGAACAAGAGGTAAGTGCACAAGCATTGAGATGTACAATTGCAAATCTAATAATACTGGTCAATTGTAATTTAATCAGATGGTAATAAGAAATAATGAAATATTTATAACAAATTCATTTATTTCAGATTCAAGAGTTAGAGTTGGAGTAAGAACCCTCCAAGTGTTACATGCTATGTACAAAAAACTTATCTTGAATAAATAACATAAATGCAATATAAGTTTCAATTATAATTTAAGTTTTTCTACATGCATGTACATGGATTTAAGCATAAGAAATATCAACAATAACAATTTACTCATCAATATATACATTTTCTTAAATTAAAGTAATGTTTGTCAAAATATATACCATATTTATCATATATTACGAAGACAAATACTTTTTTCCATAAAGCTGCGCTTTCTTTTCAAAACCAACAGATTTAATAGGGGTGTTCAGTTTGTAAAATGGATTCATTGAATACTAGAATAAAAATTGAAGTTAGGAGAAAGACAATGTAAAGATGCAGCACGTAGAACATTTGCTTTACCTTAATGTAGGTTTCGTACATTTCATTGAAAAAATTTTTTATGCCATCCTCATTCTTGCTGTCATGTACCATAACAAATCGTATATGAGTTGCAGTGACAAATGCACTTACAAACCATTGATTAAACTTGTCTACAACTTTTAGATGCATACTTGTAGTTTTCCACGTATGCTCGTCTATTAGGTCTAAAGCTGCGTGAGCTATAAATTGACTCAAGTGTGCATGATCTTCCTTCTATTACGAAAAGGGAAAAATTAAGTGCTTACAAAAGAACGCCAAAATGATACAGATTTGAATGAATTAAATAATAAGATAACTCCATTGGTCGATATTTTCGTGACATAACCTCTGAAACAACAAACCTTCGCCTCTTTGTTCGAATTATTAAATTCTAACTCGAACAATGGATTGTCCGCGTGTCCGACGATCGCAAAATAATAGTTCCCAGACATATTTGCCTTTTTTAATAATTCAAGCTATGCTTTTTCTTAACAGCAGCTCACAGGAAGACAAGGATGGATAAGGAAGTCAAGGCGCAACCACTTTATCTCCGCTCCATTCCGATTGGTAGAGAACAGTAGAGAGCCAAAGTATGTACATACCAGAGATGCTGATACGTGCAGGGATGATTTGGCTCGGACTACTAAAACACTGAGGAAGCATAGTTACTATGTGGAAGCGCTGCAGTAGAAATAACTAGTAACTGGTATTCTTCCTACTCCTACACTAAAAAAAACTACGAATAATTGGTTGATATTGAGAAAAATGTAGAATATATTATTCTTCCCGATTATTAGAGAATCTCTAGCACCGACAATGAAGTCAAATTTGATATGGAACCTTTTTAGAACACTTCATAGATTTCATAAAACATCTGTCTCCGTTCCGATGCAGTTCATGAAGCAGTGACATGACGCATTCGTGAACACATCGCAGGCGTATGTACATCTTTGCGCCTGAGCAACGTGATCTTTGCCGGCCTTCTACTTCCTCTTCCCGTGGTGAGACATAATGGCGTCCGGAGTAAGTGTTTTCCACGCCAGATTTTCATCTGGAAACATCGGCGCATTAAGACGTCGCCGGTTATCCACGATGCGTTGGGATTTCATCCCTAGACAGGAGATATTAAAATGACGTTTACATTTTTGCAGACACTCTACACGTACCCAGAAAATTTCAGGGCCTACAAGGCGCTGATCGCGGCCCAGTATTCCGGAGCCCAAGTTAAAGTCGCCAAAGATTTCGTCTTCGGTGAGACCAACAAGACCGAAGCTTTCCGAAAAAAGTTCCCTCTCGGAAAAGTGAGTCTACCTCTAAAAGGAATCTTTTCGCCGCATTCGCATTGCGATATGTCAACTGATTTTGTGGCACCTTCGGTTGTGCCAGCTTTTACAGGAATAGATGCATCCTTCAATGTATAGAGCTACTTTCTCCTGACAAAAAACTGTCATTACTTGATCGGTACTTTGTACCATATTCGACAAAAAGATATTCAGCAACTTTGGTTAATTAGTATTGTAAAATATAGACAAGTTTCAATGGGTTATAACGCTTGTACTAATTTGCAGCTGGATGTTACATACATAATAACGACGATACTGTTTTCTTCAGGTTCCAGCTTTTGAAACCTCTGATGGAAAATGTATTACAGAGAGTAATGCCATAGCCTATTATGGTAAGTTAAATGAATGTTGTAATGATAGTCGAGTTATGCACAATTGGTAGATTGAATTATTCCAAAAATATTACTTCTATTTTTAGTGGCAAACGATCAGTTAAGGGGAACGACCAAACTCGAACAAGCGGAGGTCATTCAATGGTTTGGATTTGCCGATTCAGAAATTCTCCCTGCAAGTTGCACCTGGGTATTTCCATTGCTTGGAATTATTCAGTACAACAAAATGGTATGTTTAAATTGTAGGTAATTTATTGATTACCTCCTTCAAAGGCGAATATGTGGAAATTTACCATATTTTCGTAACTCAAGGAGGTAGATTAATTTATGCAATGAAAGCATAAAGTTATTCATATATCTGGTAATATGAATCTCTACTACAATCAATATTGCATACATTTTTTAAGGCACAAAATATCTGTTTACCATATTATTAGTATTCTGATTTAATGTTTCCATAATATTGATTTTTCAGAGTATCGAACATGCAAAAAGCGATATCAACAAAGCTTTGAATGCTTTAAATATCCATTTACTTAATCGTACTTATTTAGTAGGAGAACGCATTACATTAGCAGACATTAGCGTTGCAATGACACTGTTGCATCTCTACCAATATGTTCTTGAGCCTAATCTAAGAAAGCCATACCAGAATGTAAATCGGTGGTTCCAAACGATTGTCAACCAGCCAGAATGTGTTGCTGTTATTGGTGCCTTTAAACTTGCTGATAAAACCTTGGAGTATGATCCAAAGAAATTGGCCGAAATACATGGAAAGGTAAATAGATAAGAAAATATTAATTTTTGCACCTATATAAATTTATTACTTTATAAAGCAATTTTTGGTAGGGAAAAAAAGAGAAAAAGGGGGAATCAAACAAAGATAAAGTAGCAGTTCCAGTTTCTGCGTTAGCTTCAAGTGAAACACATGGAAAGGTAAATAAATAAGAAAATATCAATTTCTGCACCTCAATTCATGCTCTATAAAGTATCATATTTTTCGGTAGGGAAAAAAAGAGAAAAAGGAAAAGGAACTTAAGGGGGAATCGAACAAAGAGAAAGAATGTTCGGCAGCCGATCCTGCTGCATTAATTTTAGCTGCTGAACCGGAATCCAAAAATCCGTTTGATGCTATGCCTAAAGGAACTTTTGACATGGATGACTTCAAACGATTCTACTCTAACAATGAAGTAGAAGAGTCGATTCCTTACTTCTGGAAAAATTTTGATCCAACTAATTATAGTATTTGGTTTGGTGAATATAAATACAACCATGAGTTGACTAAGGTAAGTACCCAATTTTTTATCAATTTAAATATATGCTTTAAACGGTAGAAGTACAGTTCAGAATTTACAGTCTTTAATTGTTTAAGGTGTTTATGTCCTGTAATTTGATCAGTGGAATGTATCAGCGCCTAGACAAAATGAGAAAAGCAACATTTGCCAGCGTCTGTCTTTTTGGAACTGAGAATGATAGTACCATCAGTGGTATTTGGGTATGGCGTGGACAGAATTTAGCATTTACAGTAAGATTAATATTTAGTACTTCATATTTATTATCAAGTAATCATGATTTTCTTTTAATAAATGAAAATATTTAATTACAGCTATGTCCTGACTGGCAAGTTGATTATGAGTCATATAATTGGACCAAACTAGAGCCATCGGATGAACAAACCAAGACATTAGTGCAAGACTATTTCAGTTGGACTGGTACTGACAAAAAAGGCAGGAAGTTTAATCAGGGCAAAATTTTCAAGTAAAATCTACGTAACATTTGCAAAAGAATCGAAAATTCAATTTGCAAGAAATAAATCTTGAAAAAAAAAATAACCACCTAGAGGTCATGAAACTTTACACAGAATCCTATAAAATCCTATAATCGTCATACATGTATGGAGACTTCGCTTGACATGTTCCTTCCATCGCTCCGTTACTTAAGAAATATATGGCTGTGTTATTTTCATCCTTGCCAGAACTTAATCTTAGAGCCATCGTAATTACAGTAATAAGTACTTAAAGTTTGTCCTTACTTCTCTTTATGCTCTCCGACATTCTCATTGATATGTACTGGATTTACCTAATTCATAAGGTGTGATTGATTTAAAGTGCATAGCATGAGAGCTCAATTTTAATTCTTTTTTGTTATATTGTAATCTTACTTCATGATCATATCATAAATAACGCATTGTTAATAATTTTAACAGACATGTTCTATTAATGGTTTATTTCGTTTGTATCTGCCTTTATCTAAAAGAACCTATATAATTTCACTTAAGTTTATTTGGGCGGCTTAAATTGATGTTATTTAACTACTTTTATCAACAAATTAATAATATTAGAAAACTTAACAAAGATCATAGAACTACTATATTGTATTTGTTATCTGTTACCTGAAAGTATTTTTTATTAATTGCTTCCTGCATTGTGGAGGAATTATGAAAACTAATTTTTAACCTGCGACAGATGTACACGTGTAACAAAAACCATTTATATCTTATAAAATTGAAAGGTAATTTATTACATCCCAATAAGAAGTGCACTATTTGATAAACAAAATTATACTCATTCTTTAGTTCATACACTGAATTATACTTATTCAAAAACCTTTAGAAGTAAGCCATTCTTTAACTAAAAGTACATAGTCTCCTCTAAATCGAAGTTGTCCCGTAGCCTCATTAATTCTAGTACCAACTTTTTTTCCTACATACTCTTCAATGTATTCCTTTAACTCTGCTTCAAGTTTCCAGATATTACCTTGTATTTTGTTCAATGTGGTTATTTTTCGTACTCCTCTGAAGGTTATCAAAAGATATACAGGCTGCATATGATTTTTGGTACGAGCCACAAAGTATGGATGTTTTTTGGCTAGCGTCACTGAAATAACAAAAAAGTTTTTAGGGCAAAATGTTAGAAAAATAAATAGAACTTCACTTTAAAAAATGCTAAAGATATTTACTATTTTGTGGCCGCCATCCGGATGGAAACTCTTTACCACTCGGAGGGGCTGGTATAAGTTTAGGAGCTAACAAGTCCTCCACGCATTTCCATTCTTGTGGGTCCCTGGAAACTTCGAAATCTGGATAAGAAGCATTTTCATCATATTTCGGGGAAGCTGTAAAGCTGCTCCATCTTTTCTGTAATTTGATAACAAAATAATTTGTTCAGGAAACCAGTAGAGCTGGTATAATTAATTCCACTTTGTTAAATAGTTTGAAGCCAAAAAACAGTATGGACAATAGAGACCTCTCGATAACATATCAGTGAATTTTTCTCAAATGGTCGTAAAAAATAGCCAAAAGGACAATCAAAAATTTAATATAAACGTTGGAATAAGATCGTCCGCTATCACAATGCTATGTAAAATGAATTGGCTGTTGCAATTCATTAGGCATAATGAGGACTGCTCTTTAGTCATTACTGCCGTTCAGAAACCTTATGTTGCAAGTCCGCATTTAGGTTATAAAATAAACTGGAATCGAATAAAGATGCAAATGCATGGTCTGCTCTCCGCATGTTGCCTCTAATTCCCATGAAAATAAGGAAAAATTGCGCAAGGCTCCCTTCGAAAGTCTGTAGAGACGTAGACGTGCCCTCGAGGATGGAGTACGTGCTAGGGCACGTTGCGGACGAATATTGGTGATAAGAACGTAAACTTTTGCGCTCGGCTCGCGCTAGAGGTTTTGCGGACCCCTGGCAAAGAGAGATTTTTGAAGAGGTTAAAAATCGACCGCGTGGAGCGGTCGAGGTGAAAGGCTACGTGAAAACTCGGAAAAACCGTGGAAAGCAGGCTCAGAGGCGAAGGGTCCATTGTGGGTCCCGCAACGGGCCACGCGGAAGGGAGACCGTCTCGGAAAGGCGGAAAGTCGCGTCATGAAATCGGCGATCGCATGCGCGAGGCTCGCCGGCGAGAAGATACCTGCAAGACCGAGGTTAGGACCCTCTCGTGGAGGCCGACGGTCACGGGGACGCGAGAGATCGCCGAGACTCCGAGGCGTGCGAAAATCCGTAGGGCGGCCATTTTGAATTCGGTAAATAAGGGTCGGTGTCCGCCATTGGTGCGCACGGGCGCGTCTTCCTCCTCGTTCTCGCGTCTTTGGGGGGTTTCCGCGCGTCGGGCTCGCTCCTCCTCGAGATTCCCATTCCGGCCGGCAAGCCCGCGTCGGTTGGTTCTCGGCCTCGGTGGAAATCGCGCCCCTGGGTCGGCCCGGAGCGGAGTAATTCGTCGAATATCGCGGCGCCAGTTAGCCGAAACGGCGTGTAGAGAGCTGGGAGAAGTGCCGCGTCGTGTCTCGGCTCGCGCATCGCCGACCGATTCCCCGGGCCCGGAGGTAACCTCGCCAGCGGGCCCGGCTCGGGACGGCAGTCTCCGGGGACGCGCGACACGCGGCCAAGGGGCTGGCGCCCGCCCGCAGGGCCCCGGTTCGCGAAACAACGTCCCGAGGAGTTAGCGCGGACGGAGTATGGGCCTGGGAGAGGTCGCGCGCTCGCCCGCCAGGCGGCGGTAGCGTCGAAACAGTAGGACAGCGTATAGACACCCTGCAACGGGACCGTCTTTTTCTCGTCTTTATTTTCCCTGGTTTTCCGGAAAGACGACGGACCCGAGGGAGGATTTTCGGTCTCAGAGGTGAGTACGCCACGGCGTCCAGGTTTTCCGCCGAGAAACGGGCCCGAGCGAGGACCCCCGGGCCCCGGATAAGCTTCCGAAGTGTCGAACCAGCTCCGACCTTTTGTTTATTCGTGGCGATTTTTTCGCGAGGGTTTGCCCACCGATTTTCCGATCTCGCCGAGCCCGAGGAGCCCGATTTCCTCTTCGGGTAGTTAACGCGCAATTCGAGCTTCCTTCTCGACCGACAATTTCACGACTCGGGCCCGCGGGCCCCGAGATATCGATCTAAATATCTCGACGCGTTTTCCTAGGCAAGAAGAGGCGCACGGTACATCCGTGTAAATGCAAACGTTTGTCACGTAATTTTTCTGTCCGCCAGGGCCGCACCGATCAACCCGCCACCCCGTCACCCACTTGCTGTGCCCGACTTCATTTTTTCCTTGCGTTCTTCTCCTTCGGAGCGGGCCCCCGGTCCATTTCTTACACGTTTAAGGGAAGATACGGCTTCTGGCTGCAGTGCCTGCTGCAAACGCCAGTATGCTCCAGTCTTTTACCCTTGCTCAATTATTTGCTCCGAACAAGATCGTAAGCATCGATTCATTACATTTCCTCTTTATACTTCTTCGCTGGGCCAAACTTCAATGGTCTTTATGCTTCCTATCAGAAAAGATAACGGTGGTAATTTCTTGTTCGCCGAGAAGGAAAGCTCGGGATACCGCAGTCCCAAATATCGTTTAATGTTTGTTACGGCGTGATTAAATTTTGTTTACTTGATTCTTTTACGTTATCATTTCCAGTACGGGTGTTAATATTTTACGGGAGCCAGGTCGAGCCTCCAATGCTTTTGATACCTTTACGAACTTATTAGGTTTATATTTTAATTAAGGTTTATATAATTCTTTATTGATTCAAGTACTTTTTCAGTTAGAGAAAATATGTGGTATAAACCTTTATGCGAATAAAGGCATTACCTTTTCCGAGAAGTAGATTGCATCAACCATTGGTTGCTTGTCAGAAAAATTAATTTGTAAACATTTTGTCAAGAAGTTCTAATAGTTGCAATTTTAATTTGTGCACGAGTAAAATTTATAATTCAGAAAATTTGACAGAACGGAACATCATATTTCAGGACCCAATGTGGGTGGAAGTGAGATGGCATCCAGGGAGAAGAGACCCCTAGCTCCTTCTAAATCAAAGCAGAAGGCAAATAATGACTCTGGTTTGCCATCCACAGACACCAGAAGTAAGAAGAGCGAAGAATTGTTGACTTTGAGGCACCTTAGGTTTTTAGAAGCGGTGAGCACAGGTAATTCATTGTCTTCTAAAGTAGAAGCAAACCTGCCTCGGAGCAAGAAAGTACTGAAGAACTTAAAACGCAAGCAGAAACTCAGAGCGGCGAAGGCAAATCTAATCAAGGTTAAAGTGACGAAAGCAGTCCCAATAAAGACCCTCAAAAGAATCGGCGCTGACGTCAAAAAAGGTGTGAAAGCAAGAAGGGTAAAGAAATCCGAAGAAACAAACGCCAGGCTAGCCGAAACTAGCGCAAAAGTTCCTGATAGTAATACCGACAGTGCGGATTGCGAAGGTATCACCAAGACTACCAAGAACAATCTCAGGGTGAAAAAGACCAAGTACACGACGAGAGGAATCGAAGAGTCGGAGACAGGAGATCCACAAGACAAAGATCTGGACGCATCGTCTGGAGCAAACTCTAAGACCAGCCCAAAGTCCACCAAGAAAGTCAGACTACTAGGTAAAAAATCAAGGAACATCGAAACAGAGAGCACAGTAGCCAACAAAAGTGCAGAAAGTGTCGAAGTCAACCTCAAGAACGGTAAGACATCAAAAGTCACCCCAATTCGAAGGAACATCAGCAGAGAAAGGGAAGCCAATCCGAAGATCAACGAGCTCGAGGTAAAGGTCTCAAAAAATAAACGTAGCATCATCAAGGAGTTCGACGGTACAGGTTCGAAGAGTCCAAAACTTGGAGCGGACAAGTGCTCCATAGATCTAACCATCGACGAGGTGATAGCTTCGATGCTTAGTGACTCTGAGGCTGAGATTGAGGGCAAGTTAACGAGAAGCCGAAAAATGTTGATAGGTGAGAAGTTGTTGACCGAGAACGAAATCAAGAAGGAAGCTGACACCGAGGAGGAGAAGACTGCTTCGGATGAGGAGGCCACGGAGTTGGACCTCAACTGCAAAGCGATCCAGCCGAGGAAGAGGATTGGCAATGCCTTGCCCCAGAGGAGCCTACGAAACGGTAAGCTGCGCCAGCTCTCCGATTCCGGGATTTCGTCCGAGTCGGACGTCAAGAGGCGTCGCAGGCTCAATTCGGACGGCGCCGACGTCTCTGAGAACTGCCTTGACGACCCCGTGGAGGTCAGCACCGAGGGCGAGTGCTTCTTCGACTTGACCGCCAACGACAGCCAGGACACGGCGAATGCCGAGAGCGATCCCTCGATGAAGAGCGACGGATCCAAAAGCTTCGAGGAGGTGATCGAAATCGACTCTGAGATAGAGAACAACAACAACAGCGAGCGGTTGGACAGATCCGGAGAACTGGGGCCGACGTTGCGCTCGAAGACAAAGGTGAAGAACACCGAGCCCGATGCGAAGCTCGACGACGCGAAGATGGAGGAAGCTCCGAGATCTCCGCAGAAGACCATCGAGGTCCAGGAGGACACGAAGAAGCCGGTGATTTGCGAGCCACGCAAGGAGATCGTCCTGGCGAAGCTGGGCGAGAAGCCGAAGAGCCGCAGAGGCAGTCTCAACCTGGACGTGAAGAAGGCCGTGGGCCCGTTCTACGGGGCCGAGAAGACCGAGGGTGGCAAGTCGCAGATCGATCAGATGATCGAGAACATCAAGCTGACGATCGCCAAGTCGATCGAGAGCCAGATCTTCAGCCAGGACAAGGGTCTAGGCCTGGGGAAGAAGTTTGAGGTGCCGAAGATCGAGGAGATCGTCGCGCCCCTGAGCGCCGACTCGCAGAAACTCGGCCTCGAAGAGAGCGCCGAGGAGGGCAAGGCTAACGCCTCGAAGAGCGAGCCTAAATCCGAGACTCCGGAGAACACGGTGCCGAAGGTGGCGGCCACTGCCAAAGAGATCGAGAAGCTAGTCATGGGCGATATGAAGCTGGTGGTCGACGCGCACCCCCAGAAGACCCTGAAGACCCAGGAGAACGATCCGGCCAAGGTAGGTACCGCCAGCGACTCGCGCGGCGTCTTCAAGGAGAACCCGTCGACGAAGGGCAAAGCCGACTCCGTCGAGGAACCAGCCGACGAAGGGACGAGCGTTGCTGGGCAGAACGTCGTGGATTCGCCAAAGGCGATCTCGGACACCTCGGAGAGCTCCGACCAACCAGGCGATCGCAAGACTCCGGAGGATGGTAAGAAGGCTGCCACGAGGAAGTCCCTGAGGATAATCGACAAAGTGTCCGATGGCAGTCCCGAATCCGATGGTATAAGAAAGAAATCCCCTAGAACTTCCGATAAGACTGGTCTCAAAGCGACGGATTTGAAAGCGGTTCTGTCCTCAGAGAACGAGAGTACCCCGGGTGCCGAGGAAGGCGCGACCACCTGCGAGAGTCGCGAGTTCAAGGAGGTTCGTGAGGAACAGACGCCCAAGGTCGAGGAAACGACAGCCAAGGAGTCTTCGGAGTCGATGAAGGGGTTGAGCTTTCCAGGGGACGTTGATAACGTACCACGTATTCTGGAAGAGGACCCCACCGTTGGGGGACGGGTATCCGCGTCGGAGCTCAAGGTCGGAGACGACGAAAACGCGTCGATCACGACGCGGTCGGAAGACACCGAGACTCTGGAGAGTATTTCAAGGGAGGTTGAGAGGCTGGTAGCTGAAGGTCCTTCGGGGAAGGACGCGACTGAGGACGAAGTGGAGGAACTTCCTAACGTCACCTTAGAGGCTCCAGAGGGAGGATCTCTTCAGGAGTTTAGGGAGCAGGTCGAGGAGGAGGACTCGGTGGACGTAACGCCGAAGTCGGGCACGCCGATGGTGATATCCGGCGACTCGACACCGATGACATCGACGACGTCGACGACCTCTTTGGAGATCGACGAGGTCGAACACGAGGAGAAGTCTCCGCGGGACGACCCGGAGGTCCTTCCGGAGTCCGACTCGTCGGACTCCGGGAAGAACGCTTGTCACTCATTGACCGTAGATGGCTGTGATTTAAATTCCGAATGTGCTGTAAAGTCTGTGCCTAAAGATAGCTTTTCTCCTAAGGAAACGAGGGAGCTAGATAACTCGGAGTCTAAGGACTGCGAGGAGGACCCCGAAGAGGGACGCAAAGTCGCCTCGAGCGAGGCCGACAAGCAAGCTAGTAAAGACGAGGAGTTAGACGTAAAACTGGAGACAGAGAAGTCGGGCGACGAGAAGACTTCCGAGGAGCAGAAGGCGACGATCGAGGAGAACAGGCGAGTGCTGAGAGCAAGGGAGAGGACTGCCGAGAAGCAGAGGAAAATCGAGACGAGACTGCAGTCGCGAAACGCCGAGTCGAGCGACTCGAAGATCAAGGACAACGATCCGATCAGGGCGGGGGAAGATGCGGAAGAGAACCAGGGCTCTTCGTCGGAGGAGAGGACTACACCCGAAGGTATGTCCAACAGGAAGGACGAGGACGATCAGGCCTTGAAGACTGAGGACGATGCCTCTCTGGAGCCACAAACTCGCACCAGGCGTTCGAGGGAGACGAAGAAACGCAAGGACGACCAGCAGGTGCAACATTCGCTGAAGCCGAAGCGCAGCAGAAGGGACAACCGAAGGTCCGACCAGCAGAACAAGGAAGAGACGCTGCTCGACAACGAGGTGGCTAAGATCAACGAGAACGATCGTTCCTTGGTGAACCATAAGTTCGGCAAATCCGCCGAAGGGGTGGAAAATTTCCGGGGTTTCTCGGCGAGCGACAAGTCGGAGAACACCAAGCCCCAGCAGGACACCCTGAGGAGCAAATCGGAGAACGACCTGGCTTGCGTCAAGGCCGACTCCGACGCCCCTAGGAGGAACTTGCAGGATCAGATGGAGGCTCACTCCTCGAAAAAGGAGGATCAACCCTCGCCGATGGAAACGGCTTCCAATGGGGAGTGCAAGACCACGAAGACTCCGGAGACGTCGCAGAAGGATTCGGACGAGGCGTCCACATCAGGGGAGTCTTCCAGGAGTGCTACTCTGACCCCGAAGTTCCTGGAGACGCCCGAGGACAAGGCCAAGAAGGAATCCATCCTCCGACTTCTGGGTCTGGAATCGCTCGAGAAGGCTGCTGAAAGGATGAACCACCAGAAGGCCAAGAAGGAACAGTACACGGGCACCCTGAAGACGGTGATTCGCGTGCAGAAGGAGAAGGAAAGGGACAAGAAGCGGTCGAGGTCTCCCTTGAAGATGGTCCTGAAGCAAGGTCGCGGCGACGGCGAAGGCGACTCCCCGGACTTCTACACCATTCAAAAGGAGGTAATTGCGTCAAGGATTATTCATCTCATACGGATCAGTATGGTGAAGATGGGATGGGAGTGAATTTTGATCTCGCCTCGTTTTCTTTTTCAGTTTGGAACCAGTGGTTTGGGAGATAGCAGCTCTGGTGCGAACCGCAAGTTCACTACTAACCACAGACACTCTTGCGGTAATCCTGGTTGTGGGCATAACTACATCGTTAATCAAACCTGCCTCCTTTACCGCTTCCGATTGATACTCTCGTGAAAATACCTCCCTTGCGATCTCCACCTTCCGGAGGAAAGGGCAAGAGAGACATTCGGTTTGCGCGACCTCTCCTCTGGTCTGGAAGGGGACCTAGAGTAGCGAGAAATTGACTGGCCATTTCGTTCTTTTTTCTTTTTTTTTTTCTTCTTTTTTTTTCCCAGTGGAGATCAAGCAGCATTTCGGTCACGGTCCTCTGGTCCTGAAGGTTCAGATATCCAAAAATCAATTGACTCAGTAACAAAGCATGCCGTTCAAATAACAGTACTAGCTTAATCTCTTGTCCACGACGAGAATATTCCGCTTTCCACCTTTTGCGCCCAATATCGCGATCACCACTTGCCGTATAGTATCGAAGCAGGGTTGCTGCGATTTTTGAAAACTCAAAGTCCTAAAGCGGTTTAAATCTTCCTGAATGTTTTTACGATGTTCTTAACGGACAGTTTGAGTTCAAAAACCGTAACAGTCCTGCAGAGCTAAAGAACCTGGATCGAAAGGATGTAAGAACGGAGACCTGACCCTCTTTCTTTCTGGTAACAGATGAAGACAACGAGGAGGCTGCGCCGAAGGACCGCCAGTCGCTCGTCATCCCCGAGAAGTCCTCCTCCTTCTCGATTCATCCTGGCCGACTCTGTGCCGACGTCTGTTGCTACTGTTTCGGGAAATTCGGCTCTTTGGATACGCCGATGCATCTCGCTCAGATGAAGTCCGACGAGAGGCGCAAGAAGATCTTGAACGTGGAAAGACATCTCACCAAGGACTCTTGCCTTTGCGACGCGTGCTACCGCCACGTTGACCGAAAAGTACGTATCCTCTATCACATGAGCCGCTCGAAAAATTCAAGGAATCCAATGATAAATCTTGCAATTTATTCCTTTCGATCATGCATTACTTAATACTAAGGACAAGGTAAAATATGTAATAATGTTTTCATCGCGAAGGCCCACTCCAGTCCCACGAATATGCAGACCAAGCCTCAGAGACAGCACCGTCAATTAATGGTGTCGAAGTGCACCGCTCGAGAATGCAGGGAGCCAGCAAGGCACCACGTCAAACGCCGATGGCTGCTCAAAATTAAAGCCGGTCTGCACAATCAGGTATGCTTCTGGAATGACCGAAAGTAGAGGAGAAATTTTTAGGGCCCAGTACTCGAACCTCCTATTCCTTCTACTGCAGGTGGATATCGACTGGGAGTCGAGTCAACACACGTCCTTGTCCTTTTGCGTGAACCACTATTCGAAGATCGAGAGGTTCCTGACTTGTGCGCTGTGTAAACGCCGACTAGCCAGGAACCACACCCATCAGCTGGTTCCCACCGAGACTGGCGAGTTGAATCAACGACTCAGGCAACAAGGAATCCCGGTCCTCCTGAGCGCCGGGACGTTCGTGTGCAAATTATGTCGGTACTTCACGCAGCTGCAGCTCAAGTACAAGGACGTGGACAACATGAACACGAACCACAGGTCCTTCTTTAAGAGCTACAGGAAAAGGTGAGCGATTTGAGTGGTACCAGCGATTTCTTTCCCGGTTGAACGTTGATAACTTGATTGTATCTCATGGGGCCTGTCGAATTTCTGCAGAATCTTACATTACCACGACATCGAGGTTCTGGAGAACGAGGAAGAGGACGCGGCGCAGAGTCAGGTGGCCAAAGAGAAGCGCAAGAAAGCCAAATGCCAAGGCCAGAGTCAAGGTAAGAGCGGTATATCCAAGTCTCCGGACGTGGCGGTGAACTCGACGTCGGAGAAGTCGACCCCGGAGCCGAACAAGAACGAGGGGACCAACTCCGAGACGGATAACGAAAATCGCACGGCGAAGATGAGCGCAATGGAAGACGGAATGGCGACGGACGAGGACATCCTGAGCCTACAGACGTCCGTGGATCAGCTCAAGAAATTCCATCGGTACTCCTCGGGAGTGTCCAGCGAGGAGACCAACGAGGTCGTCGAAATCCTCGCGATGGACAAGGAGGTCACGCTGACCCGACTGCCGAAGAGGCCCCGACCTGGCAGCGACATCAACCCCGTCGTGCAACGGCTTGGGGCGAACCCTTCGATCAGCGTGCGCACCCTCTTTCCCGGGGAGGAAGAGATGAACCTTCACGCCAACATAGACTTCAACAACGTCCGCGAGATCACCCCCCAGGGTTGGGAGAAATGCGCGACGATGATACAGTACGATCGCGACACCAAACTGCTCTGGCAAGAGCTGCAGAGGCCTTACGGGAACCAGAGTTCCTTCCTCAGGCACCTGATCCTCCTCGAGAAGTACTACAGATCGGGCGACCTGGTCTTAGCGCCAAACGCCTCCCGCAATGCGATCAACTACTCGACCTCGGTGCACAACCGGCTAATATCCTACGAGGGCCCCGAGAAAATGGACGAGCCGATCCTGGAGCCGATATCCGAGTTCAACAACTCTCGCAGACTGAGCGGAGGCTACGTCCTCGAGAGAGACAGACTGTCCTTGCCGAGCACGAGCTCCCTGGTGCTGCCTTCCTCCTCGCCAACCGCGACGAACGCCTCGCACTCCTCCAAGGCCGGGCCCAACGTGGTCAAGCTCACCCCCGGGGTTTCCATCATAAAGAAACCTCCACCGAATCTGCAGCGACTCGGCAGCCTGCCCTCGACCAGCGCGACGAACGGCGCCCTGAAGCGCAAGGAGGGTCCCAAGGTGACGGTCTCGTCCGGGGGGAAGATCTTCCAGCTGAGCGAACCCGACTTCAAGCGTCTTCAGAGTCTGAAGCGCCAGAAACTGATGGGCGAGAAGCAGGTTGCGGGGACCTCCAGCTCGCCGCCCGGCCTCAGGTCCGTCACCCAGTACCAGAAGGCCCAGCTGGCCGCCCAGACGCAGTTCCAGAAGCACCTGAGGATGCAGCAGGAGATGCTCAACCGGCAGAGCAGGAGCGACTTCGAGCCCCTGATCTGCGACGTGCGGACGCTCGCCAGCGACAACAACGCCCCCTCGCAGAGCTTACTGAACAACCTGAACCTGCCCAAGTCGATCCAGGTCACCACCAAGCCGCCCGCCAACCCGATACCCATTCTGCCAAAAATCCCCAAGTCCCTGACGGTGATACCGCAGACGGTCTCCAGACCCGCCGACAAGTGACCGCCGACCTAGGGTCGGCGAGCATCGGGACGCGCTCGCTGCCAAAAGGGAACCAACCCGCGGTTCCGCGGGAACCGCGCACGGCCGTCGCCGGAACGGGGACGCGGCTTGCCCCGTCCGGCGCGGCGCGTGCCCGCGGCCTCCAGGACCGCCTCGAGGCTCAAATCCGCGTTCGCCCGGATCTCGACGGGTCCACCGACCACCGAGAGTCGTTCCCCGAGCCGCGCCTTCCGGAGGAAGATCCCTAACCAAAGCCCCCTCACGACGCGCAACGACGAGACGCGTGAGAGAATGAACCCATTGATTCCCGTTTAAAAAGTGCCTAACGTGTGACGCGGTGACAGATGAGTCGTTAACTTTTATTAACGGATAAATAACGATCTAACTGACTTAAGCTGTTGCATATAGGTATATAGTGAATTATTGTTTAAAATGAGAACCATATCAGCCTTTACCTAAGTACGTTTTACTTTCTATTCTAAAGTCGTCCGGGTCGCGCGCGGCGAGTCGCACCGTGGAGGCCCTCGAGAGGGAGAGGCGCGAGTCGCTCGGACCCGGTCCCCCGGTCGCGGGTTATATATTTACACAGCGTCCTCGCCTCGTGATCCGCATCCAGGAGGACCCCGCCGAGGGTCGGGAGGAAGTATTAAGCCGACCCGGACCGGGTCGCGGCGTCGGGACGCCCACGTAGCGGCCGACCGTGCTCGATGGACTCCCCTCCCTCGAGATTTATACATACTAGCCCACTCACCGAGCGAGCATAATAATTATTTGTAATTATACTCACGAACCTAGGCTTACGGATACGTTGAATCATCTTAAGTTTAGGCGACTCGCGTTGAGCTTATTTATTATATTACCCCTACCGCGCGTAATCGCAGTGTACAGAACGAACGATTAATTTTAGTCTAACCGCCGCCGGTCGGGCGAACGGCTAGGCGCTAATCATGATGCAGTCTTGCGAATCGTAATTAAGACTCGCCAGGACGTCTCGAGGGGGACCCCCCTCGGAGATAGACGAAAATGATCGGACAGCGTCGAAGGACTGACTATTTAATGGGCCTTATTCGTAGACAGCGTCGATACGGGGACCTCGCGAAATGTCAATCCCTCCTCGTCCATGTTTGCTTCGGCGTCGGGACGCCCGTTGTCGCGCGATATATACCGCACGTTCAATGATTTACGACGGACGAATCGTCGCTTCCTACTGACGCAAATGCCGGGGCCGCGTTATGCCTTCGTTTTGGCGCGTGATTTTCCTTTACGGGCCGAATTTAGAGCATAGGGTATTTTTGCTACCGCGCTTACCGCTCGTGAATGTCTTCTCCTTCCCTCGAGTGCTGAGGATGGACAAGGAAACGCGCCGGACTGGCACATATCTCCGGGGTGCAGCGTTACGGTGTCTCTACGGGTTAAGCATCAGTGGGCCGATGATATTTTGTACATTGTTTAATGTGATAGGGCAACGGGGAGGGGCGGCTTAATGCTCGGAACCGAATCCCCGGCTGGCATTTCGCGAGGTGCAATTGTAAATTGTTGACGGGTCGGACTAGCGGTAGAGACTTTTCCATTGTTTGGGTTATCAAATTTATATATCCCTGCCGTGTTACGAGTTGACTAGTTTTCTATATAACATTTTTACGCCCTCGATCGGGAGGCCTCGTCGGAGGCTGCGTCGCGGCGCTCTCCCTTATCTCCGTATACGAGAGCAGTTCTCTTTGATTGACGTCCCCGGCGAAGCTCGAGCCTCGAAGAGGCCGCTCTTCCAATGGACAAACAGGGACCTCGACGAGGCATCGCGTCCTCTTGATGGCGCAAGTGATCAGTAGAGTATAATGATATCGAAAGGGGGCGTAGCTATAAGTCAGTTAACTTACGAGAAATCAGTCTAGAGTCGCACGGGCCACGTGGCCGGCGGTTTCGCGCGATGAACTAATTAAGGTGATAGCGAGTTATTATCTCTCAACGGTGATCCTAGTTTACCCATTGGAAAGTAGAGCCCCGGTTGATGCCAATTGGGGGGGGGGGGGTGAAATTATGCGACGTTCTCTTAGAGGAGGAAAAATCAGAGAAACCGATGGAATTCTAGAGACCCTCGAAGGATGCTTCCCTCGGCGAGGTTTCCAGTGATCTTGGGCGATCGGCCGTTTCCCCACGGCCCTATCTCTCGTCCTTTATCTACCACCGAGTCGCGCGAGTTTGCCCCCTGATTTTTCCTATCCGCTACCCTGGAAGACTAGAGACCGCCTTTGATAGGGCGCCCTATGGGAAATGTCCAAAAGCAGGGAAAATGGACCGTTTGTTATTGAACGATCACGCGACGATCCTTCCAAGGAGACGCGTTTTGGCATTTACCTAGAGACAGCGGCAGAGGGGACGGCCCAGGACCCTCTGCCTCCAGTTTTCCAAAACGTCGTCCCGGGGAAGGACATACCCTCGCTCTTAGACTTTTCTCAAAGGGACCCTCGCCGATGACCGAAGGTCGAGGATTGTGCCACGAGTGATAGTTCAAGTGTACATAGTTAGCGTTGTAAGTCTGCGATTAAGTTGGAACCGGGATATGTGGGAGAGAGAAAGAGCGGCACCGGGAAGTCGGTCGAGATTTCTTAATCATTGTACGAGCGAGCGACGCGTCGCAGGGTCGGAGGGCTGTACGTGGCGTACCTAGTTTTCGTTTCTGGCAATAAGGAGGATATAAGGAAGAGAAGCGCCTTTCTCGGGTCCCCGGTGGCTCTCGGAGGGATACGAGGAGAGGACATCTAAGGGGTCTCGCCGGGGAACCGAAAGGGAACTCGGAACTCAACCTCGGGTTTAGGTAGCACGTAGGTGGCGAGGTAAATACACCTAGGCGCGTCCCCTTTATACATGTATATACCCTATACATAAATACATAACGAATAGTGAGCCACACGGATACGGTACACGCGGAGGTGCGCGCGACGTATATATTTATATATATATATTTAAAAATTCTCTATTTTACTAAGGATATTTTTTATATATCTATATATATATATATAAATATATATATATACATACATGTATATCGAAAAACTAGAAGTGATGGACCGCAATCGCTTGGCAAGGACGATCGAGATAATAATTGTTGAACAGGCGGTCGCGTCCTTGGAAACGCACGATAGCGGCCGAGGGGATGCCGAGGACCTTGAAGAGCGTGCTTTAGGGGATTCCTTTTTATTGCACGAGGAAAAATGAACGGCCAGGGGTTTCTTTTTGTCACCGTAGGACTTGGAAATTTCGATCGGTCGATCTCTGGGAGGTCGAGACCTCGCTTCCGGCGCGAGTCGTTGCATGGCTCGGACACGAGTGTTCGGGCCTTTACTAATCGTTACGTTGGCGAAGATGTCTATTTTTCTATATGAGCACCGGTGTGGAAGAAATTTATGGGGAAACCTCGATCGGGTTAACGCGAGTACAGGATGAAATTTCGCCGGGGGTTAAGTGCAAGGCTTCGGGGAGATCGCAATGAGACATTTGTACGGGAGCGCGGAGTTCACCTGGTGGATTTCTCGTGCTAAGGGGAGATAGGGTGAAATGCGCCGATTTGTAGGGTAGGAGTAACGACCGGTCGGAGGGACGGGGAGACGACTTTTAGGACGCTTTGAGGATGGTGACGAGCCAGGGGGAAAGGGTGCTCTTCAGGGTCCCGGATGGCTCGGCCGGTATTCTCTCCTCCGCAGCGCTTCAACGCCCGCGACTCTGTGGACGGCGCGAGGGCGAACGCGAACTGAGTTTAAGTTTTAAGAATTCTATTTTTCTGGTGGCAGTGGGTATAATTATTGTAAAGACGTCGCGAGGAGGCGTTCGCGCGATCGATATATCGGGGACCGAGCAATCGCGAGTCCTCGGGGAAGGCCCACCCCCTGGCCGGCTCTCGAACCCCACCGGACGAGGAGATGATCTCCGAACGACTTCCCCATGGCTCTCTCTTCCCCCTTCCTATTTTTCCCTCCGAATTCTCGCGGTCCACCCGCCTCACCATGAATTTCCGGAATCCCTCAACGCTTCCTTTCCTCCCGGAAGTTCCCTCCGACTCCCGACGCAACCTAACCTCGTGGTACTTTTTCCCTCCGCCTGAAACACGGACAATTACCCAGGACGTAGACACCTAGAACGTAAAACGCACGTATTAATTGTAACCTATTTTTATATATGTATATATATATCCGGGTGATGAAAATTCATTACGAGGGGGGAAACGCTCCCCGAGGATGGCTCGATGTCGGGTCGGGTCCCCATAGTAGAGTCCCCATAAGCTGAGTACACATCCGAACATGAACGCGGGTAGTACTCAGACGTGTACGTGGCAATGGACAAAATCGTCCGAGGCAGTAGACGGACATCTTGACGAACAGCATTCGAACAGCCTTGTATGGGGTGGTGGGAGATCCGGGGCAGTTTGCCACCCTTCGATTGATCAATATATTATCCACATCGGGGTGTTCGCTTTGCCCCATACGCGTTCATGCTCAGATGTTTACCCGGCTAGAGTTCCGTGATATCCGCGCTTGGGGAGGGGAAGAGGGAGCGAGAGAGTATTTTTCAAAGATTTGGAGTCTTTTTCGGATTCCAGCGCGATTCTGGAGCGACTTCGAGGGGGGTCTCCCGAGGACCCGCGAGCCTGGGAGGGCCTCGACAGAGAGGTCCCCCTTTTTTTTGGGCCCAGCGATATCGCTCGAACGATTCGGAGATATATCGATGTCGATCGAGGAAGATTGACCTCGTTTCCTCTGGTGTGCGCCCGGGTTGGTCCAGGAACGGCGGTTCCGAGACTCGAAGACCGTTCGCATTCGGCTTTGCGCGGTCGGGCTAGGGTCCCGTTTTCCTCTTTTTTTTTTTTCCTTTTCCGTTCTTTTCTTTTCTTTTCTTTTTTCTCTTCCCGCGGGACCCGGACTCCCGGCCGAGCGATCTCCGGGAAGATCGCCACGAGGGTCGCGGGGCCACCAGCTCCAGGGTGCACCTCCTCCGAGGGGCGACGTGTCTCGCCCGGGTCCGGGAACCCCGCGGCCCCGGCCGAGGTCTCGGCTATCAATATTACGTTATTTAAATTAATATTATTAACACACGTTACTACTATTATAACAGCCTCTGTTTATTTAGTTATAAAATGTAATAGCTGTTTAGTTCTCCATCCTTTGTATATATTCGCAAGACAGAATAAAAATGCAAAAAAAAAAAACACACACGACAAACGAAAGAACGCGGATGTCCTTCACTCGCCATCCGATTTCTCGAGCTCGATTTTCCTCGATTTGAGGGGATTCGAGAGTCGATTATAAATCGCTGCACGTCTTTCTCCCGTGGGGATTTATCGACCCGTGAAGGACGAATGGATAAAGTGGAAGGTGGTGGGGCATATTTTTCATACATTTTTTTTTTACGATTTATTCGCCATTTTTGTCATATAATTGGTAACTGATTTTGGATAACTAGTACTGAAACCTAAACAACGTATGAAACTTTATACATAGCTAAACTGTCTTACGGGGTTGCCTAAGGTAGCTATTTACAGAGATTTTGGGCCGCGGGAATCCTCGACGTCACTCGAGAATGTCATCTCGGTTAAGGCTAGTTTTAGGGTGGTTCTCCTATGTGCAACGCGGGTACACCGTCCGTCCATGAAACAATAAATTATTTCGTCCCTTGGGTCGATCGTCGTTCTCGACCGAGTATAAAGGTGCAAACGCGAAGTAACCGTCTCTCGCGTGCTCGGTTAAACGTAAAGTCAGGGGGTGGGTGGNGGTAGGGGGCGGAATTAAACAAAAGCAGTCCGGATTAACGGAGTCCTGCCACGAGGCTCGACTCTCTAATCTCATACGGAAGCTGCTAGTCCTCGAATCTGTACACGACGTATATGTATATATACAAGTGATCCCTTAAAGCCTGATAACGAGCGACTCTTCGGGGGACCGCCGATGCGCCCCATCGAAAATGATAACGCCGACCCACTTCGCGCCTCTCCCTTGCGCGAAGTCTTTATTAAATCACATGACGTCCGAGTGTTTCGCCGCGGCCCGGGCACTACGGAAGATTGGATTTGTATTTTGTACACGCTGCACAATTTTGGTCCAGACTCTCTCGCGCTCTCGTCCCCTTCGCTTATCTCCTGCGACCGGGGACCCGATTCTGGAGTCCATGCGGATTTTTCTATGTTTACTTTTTTCTCTCTTCTCGCACGCGGATAGATGCGCAGGATAAATTTCGCATTCGTGTAAAGAGCCGCGTAAAGATTTGTCAGTGACTTCAGACTGGCAAGGAGGGCTAAGGATGGCATGAAATCCAGATTCGAGTCCCAGACCTCGAGTTTGGGTGGAGGGCGGCGAACTGCGTAAGAAGGGATAAACTAGGAGAAACGATAACACCGAAAGGCTCCCGAGTCTCGACGACTTAAGTACAAGAAACGAAAGGACTGTCCCCTAATATTGCCGTAGCTTTGTTGCGGGAAACGTTTATCGGGCTATCCCGCTAAGGCCCAGGAGATGAACGCCTCGGAATTCGTTGCCGACCCCAGGGTGGACAGGGAATTTCGACGCGTCGCCAGGTACACACCTCGGAGATGCTCCCTTTAGGATCCCTCTACACGAGGTGCCGCGAGGTCGGCCGATAATCGGTCCCCGACTTATCCGGACCTGTAACGTGACAGAAGCATACATTTGAGCTAAGTCCAATTTTCCGTCTCGACGAGGCCCTTCATCGAGAATCGCTCCCCACGAGAATGTCCCTTCCGAGGGGAGCCCTCCTCCATGCCGGGCATCGTTTAAGCCGAATATTGCCTTTATCTCAAGCGGGTAGAAACGGAACTAACGTAACGTAAATAAACGATACAACGCGATCGCCCATCCTGAATCGCGTTTCCGGAATAAGCCTCGGGCAAGAGTTCCTCATATCACGTGGAGGAGCTCCCGCGAGAAGTATCCCCGGTCCTGCGCGAGTCGCCAAGACATCCTGTTTATCCAACGGAAAATGCATTCACGACTTAACCGTAACGAAAGCAATTCATTATTTTTTTTAATCATTTTTTTTTTCTTTTTTCATTCCAAGACATCCCTAAGCCCCGTTTTATCGCGTTTTCTCTCCTCGGCCCTGAAACGCAGAGGCGCAATCCGGAGGCGTTAAGGCGACGCGAAAGTGCCGTCAAAGAGGTCTCGTTCGTGAAAATTACCTCCAAATTGGGCGCGCCTCGTTTCAAACTCTACAGCAGGAATATGGAGGCGGTAAAGAAAGGTCCTTACACCGACTTCGACATTTGAAAAATATGTTTAGACACTTCTGGTTCGATTTTCTTTCTTTTTTTTTCTCGCGAAAAATGAAATTTCACAGGTGTCAGGATCTTTCTCGTAGCCTCTAACATTGACGTTGTATTAGTTTCAAACGGTTAGATATATCTAGATCCGAGAAAAGCTTCGGAAGAAACGATTGACCCCTTCGGATGGCACTTTTCATCTCGCCTTAACAGCGAGGGCGACGAAGACTACGCGGTCGAAGGACACCCGTCGAGAGAGTCAGCTGCGCCTCAAGGTATCGTCGTGTCGATTAATAAACTAATTGAACCATTAATCCTAAACATCGTGCAGCCACCGTCTCCGTGTTTTCCGTTGGGCAGGGAAAATTCTAGCCGCCTTCGTGAAATTTCATGAAAAGACTCGCGCGAAGGAACGCGCGCCGCCCCTTCCGCATGGTGGAGTATTTTTAAGCATGACCCGAATCCTTTGCGGCTCCTTTATTGCACAAAAGGGCCACGAGAAGAAAGAAAGAAAGGAAGGAAAAAAAGGGGAAAAGAATTAAAATAAAGGAAACGGGACCGTATCAAAAAGGACAGGCTGCTAAGTTTAGGATTAACGAATCCATCCGTACCGTTGACCCTCCCCGCCCACTATCGTACGAATATCGTGGTCACGCTCTATCAGCTATACGCGTTTAAAAATTAATGGAACATTGTTACGGATTAACAAAGGTTCAAGACAGATAAAACTAAAGGCCTGCCGTGACGTGTTACGAGAGATAATCTTACGCATTATGTTACCTATAAATCATCTCAACTCGCGAGAAATCGAGAAATCCAGATTTCGTATGTACAAACCGCGAGGCCGTCCCGCGATTACGCCCTCCCGGCCCTCCCCCTCGGCGAGGACGCCTCTCGTGTGTCAACGTTAAAAAAGTATCTCTATATATACAAACACTATGTATATTGTATACATACACTTCCACGGCGACCCGGTGAGCCGGACGATCGGTCGGTCAGGCTCGACTCCTCTCGTCAAACGCCCCAGGAGTCGAGGGTCGATCTCTCCAACCTTTTGCCGCGGTCTCGATAGCCCGGGGAACGGCCTTATCAATCGCTATCGACGCCCCCGCGCGTCCCCTCGTTCCCCGAGCTAAGCGACCTCCCGAAAAGGCCGGAGAAATGTGCGATTAAAAGAAAAAGGAAGAAAAAAAAAAATGGTACGGCATCGACGGCGTGGCTTTCCATTGAGCGCTAATGAAATCTCGTCCGCTACTTGGCAAAGAGTCATTGCCGAGTCGAAGGATAACTTCTGGACGCGTGAGGCGATATCACGCGTATGTAATACCGTGCGTGGCGGCGCGAAGTGAGAGAGAGAAATATGCCGGGATTTTAGCCGTTCCAAGGCGGCACCCGGAACCCATGCATGGTCCAGGTGCCCGCGCGAAGACGGACGCTCGCCTCGTGTTTGAGAAAATAGAAAATGCGTGAAAAAGGCGCGAGCCGCGTGGGTAGCGGGAAGAGCTGCCCCGACCGGGTTTCTCGAGAAGGTCCCGTAAGGCTCATATTGGCGCGACCGGCTCACGGAATCCGGTCCTTACGGGGATCCGGCTCACGGGCCACGTACTGTACAATTATTGGCACAAGTGCGCCAGGTGTTTCCGCGGGTCGCGATTTCGTGCCGTGCCATTAGCTACGGGGAAAGAAAACGGCGATACTGGGCGGCGGATACGCGGGGGGGAGAAAGAAAATAGAAGAATGGAAGGCCAGGCCGCTGCGTTCTCGGCGCGATCGGCAAAAATAACCGATAACGGATAAGAAGTGCGATATAACGCGAGTGGAGTATCTCGTCACACTCGAGTTGCGTGCGCCAACGGGCGGCGAGGTCTCGCGGAGCTTACAAAAAAGAATCGCCTTCGAGGAGGCACGCAGAGTTCTAATTCGTAGCTTATCCAACATTCGAGAACCGAGGAGGAACGGTGCGAACGAGATCTCTCTCTCGTTTCCGGCAACAAGAGATCCCGCTCGAACCGATTCTTGGCCTTATGCTACGAGCCGACCCCTGGAGGCCTCGAAGACGAGTCGCCGCGACCGCGCGACTCCATTGGCGATGGATGCGAAGCGTCCTCGAGTCCGTACATCTGCGGACATGCAATCGGCTCCGGAAGTGGACGAGGGCAGGATTGCCCGGATTCGAGTCCCAGAAGAGGAGTTCCTCGGGTTCGCTCGAGCCTTCGTCGACCTCGGACCGCGACTCCCTGCTCGAGACCCTCCCCGAACGCTCGAATCAAATTGCAAGGTGCATGGCTCCCACCTCGAATACCGAGTCGCGTTATCTCGCAGGGTTCGTCGAGGACAATCCCTATCTCTTCCGGAGCGTCTAGGAGGAGTTTCGAGCAAGGCGGGACGCAAGGAGTCCTGGGTGCTCGTTCGCGGTCGCCTCGAAGCCGGTCAGGGCGTTCTCGACCGAGAGAGGCCTCGAAGACCTCTAGATGCAGCAGGAGCTCGTCGGTTCGGTCTCCGGTCGACCTCGTCGGAGTCCGAAGGTGGTCATCGATGCCGAAGAGGACAGTCCCGAGGCGCCGCTTCGAGGGTAGTCGAGAAGAGGACGCCGACAGGGAGTCCTCTAGGTCTCGAGGCCGGGCACCAGGCTGTGGAAGGTCTGGATGTCGTGGAAGGCGCGGCCGCAGCTCTGGTTGTTGTTGCGCTCGAACTTGGCCAGGTCGAAGTGCTCGTCCAGGGCCTGGAGGTCGACGAGCCGCTCCTCGAGGGACTTGGCCGAGTCGGCGAATCTGAAGTCGCAGAAACGCTCGGGGTCGCAGCCCACGTCGGCCACCTCCATCATCGTCACGTCCGCCGTCCTGGGAACGGAGGCGAGCTGATCGCTCGGGTCGTCGGCGAAGAGGCCCGAGCTGACGGAGACGGGTCCGCGGTTCTCGACCCCCGGACTCAGCCGGTCCTCGGCGAAGCCCAGGGGATGGGAGGGGTGCGTGGGGTGTGCGGGGTGAGGCGCGTGCGGCGGCTGCGTTTCCGGGGCCTCGTCTATGTGCGACAGCAGCCTCGGGGTCGGCGGCAGGATGTAGAAGTCGCTGAACACGTCGTCCTGGAGGTCCAGGTCCTCGTGCCTCTGCCGCTTCGGACTCAGGCTCTCGTTTCTGATCTCCTCGCTCAACCTGCGGAACGAAGACCATCGTCAGACATTTTCCCCTCTCGACGTCGAGTAAACCCGCGTACACGGGACACAGGAGCTCCCGCGAATTCGGAATTTCGAGTCGACTTTCTCTCTTTTTTGTTTCCTTCCTTTCCTTTTCTTTCTCTTTTATTCCTCCGCCCTAAGATTCCCGAGACTCGGGCGAGCTCGACTCCGACTCGCGCGCCCTATTTTACGGTCGCCTCGTGGGACGGCAGATAACCCGGCCCGTTATTTATGCAAAAGCCCATTATCGAGGCGTATAGAAAGCATCGTCGCTTATCGACGCGGCGATTTCACGTACGAACGCAATCGTCCTGTGTATGACTGGTAAGCGATGAGTGGCTCTCCTTGCGACACTTCCGGCGAAACAAAGCACCGCGCGGAGCCCCACGGAAGTGGCCGCGGCCCTCGAGCTAAACGCGCGGCTAACGACGCCGACGTCGGCGTCGATGCTTTTCTCCGACCCCGTTTCGACGGTTCCCCGAAATCCCCGAGGTCGTCCCACCGCTCCAAGACCTGGGGATCCTCGATATCTTCTCGGCCCTCACCTTTTCCTCTGCGGCGTGGTGCTGTCCGGGACGCCGACGATCATGTTCCCGGAGACGTTGTTCTCCTTGGCGGAGTCGTCGAGATAGGTGACGACCGGCAATCCGTAGTTCCTGGCCTTCTCGTCGCGGTTCTCGCGCTGGAGGCGCCTGACGGCGTTGTTGATGAGGACGGAGCGACAGAGGCTGGCCTCGGGGTCCTCGATGCGTCTCAGCTTCCCCGCGGAGATCTTCAAGAGCCTGCGGCGCTCCTCCCGAGCTCGGTACTTCGCTGAGATCATGGTCGGCCTGCTCCTGCGGATCACCAGGTCTTCCTCAAGTCGCATCTTAGCGTCTGCAACGATAAAGAGGAAACATCCTGATTAACCACGACGCGTCTACGGGCACGAATTATAATTACATGCTAACGCGTCCACCGATTTTCCATTTCGCGATACGACTGCACTGCTGGCGATAAATCGTTGCGAGAGATAGGCAAGACAAGAATAATCTCCAAGTGGAATCGGAGCCACTCCTGGAGATAGAGTCGCACGTGGAGAATATCCTCGCTTAACGATGAACGTAATTATATATCAAATCGGTATACCGGGAAGAAAAATATAAGAAATGTCCTCAGACCATTGAGAATATTTTCCTTATTAGAGGGATAATTAATTGACTCGAGTGAATTTCCCAAGAACGTTGGATTTAATTTCTTTTGGCGAGGTTCCTTGAATTTTTTCAAAATATTTCCTCGGCACTGTTCGGAGAGATATTTCGTGGGTTTCCTTTTTTTCTCCCTCTCTCAGTGCACGATTAAATGTATTCGAGAACTTATTAGAGCGACTTGCGGGAACGCGCGTGGCCACCTTCACGTAGAGTGCGGACGTTCGCTCCGGATCCTAGGTGAAAGCGAGCACGAAGCGGTCGAGGCCCCTCCTAGATCGCGGCTATTCCCGAGTTTCCAGATTTCGGTGCGTCGAGCCATCCCGAGGTTGAAGAAAAGGCGTGACTCGAAAACCCTTAGAAATTCGAGACTTTGCTCAAGCAGCCCCCCTGACCGACTCTCATTTTTCCGACTCGGGCCGAGAACATTAGAATCGAGCCTGAGATTCGATTCCGCAGTCCATGCGGATCCCTTTAGCCATACGAATAGATTATCATGGAAAGCTTTCGCATTGTTGCAAAGTGGCATCATTGGTCAACGTTTAAACGTCGTGCACGAAGACCTGTCAATTTAGCGCGTGGAAGTTAATCCGGTGAACTGGAAAATCGGTTGCCCTGGAGAGGGGGCGCGGTATAAAAATCGAATAAATCTCTAAAATTCATTCCATCCAGCGATCAAAGCTCGCGACGAGGAGCACCAGGTCGAGCCAGAAGAGTGCGGGGTAACGGGCGAGGACTTTTCTCCATTGTCGCGACGACTGACCCACATACGGCCTTTCCGACGTTCCGGTCGGTAAGTAGGAGCCCGCTCGCGCGAGCGACGCGTCGTCCGTGGCGCATGCGCCGCGCCGGAGTGCGCCCTCGCCTCGGACCTGCGCTCTCGTCGCTCGCGAAACTGCCAACAGAGGGGGAGAAAAATATTCAAGACGCGATTCGTCCCGTCTAAATGAATTAATTCGATCCCAATTACCGGGTAATACGGATTTCCACCGCGCGGCGTTTCCAGGGAGACTCGAAAATCACTGAGAAATAGCGCGAGGGAAAACCTCCCCGAGCGGCCTCTCCGTCGCCTCCACCGCTCGAGTAACTGACGAGGCGTTCGAGAAGTTCGGCAAAAGAAAGTAAAAGAGAAAGAGGGAGAGAGGGAGGCGGCGATCCGACCTGAGGCCGAGCCGAAGCGCCGTATTTATAGACACGGTACTTTTCTTCCATGCCGAGAGAGCGGAGGAGGGACGGGAGGGCGAAAGAGAGAGGGAGTGGACGCGAGAAGAGGGAGGGAGAGAGAGAGGGCGGATGCTCTTACCGCGGAGGGCTGCATCTTTATAAACGCTGAAATATTTCGAGGGCGACGAAGAGGGAGCCCGCGCACGCGCGGACGGGGGAGAGACGGAGATCGAGGGGGAATAGAGCGAGACAGAGAGAGAGGGGGAAAGGACCATACGCGTCGAAGGGACGAGGCAACCCTCGAGGACGAGGCGTCCTCGAAGGAGTCGGAAGTGATTTCGACGGGCAAGAGGGGCCGCGCGCGTCCCCTCTTGCCTAACGCAAATAGATACGAGTAGATTTATAAGTAGATACAAGCGGGAACCGACCGCGCGATGTCTTCTCGTCGATCCTCGAGTCGGTAGGCCGAATTTCGAGTCCCGAGGGCGAGATTCGTGACCGTAAGAAAATCATTCAGATGAATGGTACAAGGACTTCGATTCCAATTTCAATAAGGGTCGCAACGTATACCGTGGCCAGAAATTCTATCCCGCCCTATCTGCAATATACATATTATAAATATACTCCACTTTTGTACAATGTATTTACATTTAGGTATATCCTATTAAATATAAAATTCAGGAGAGATTATCGGCATCGCCCTGCCGAGGGCGCTCGAGTTAATCGCCCGTCTCCTTGGCGAGCGGACGGAGAAAGTGACGGGCCTCCTCGGGCGGAGAGCGCGTCCGTCGTCCGCGGGGGACGCGCACGGAATGCGCACGGCGGGCCGATATTCCGGCAGGTCGCGCGCCGCGCAGGTGGTCACGTGGGTCACGCCGCGTCGCGCCGTCACCCGAGGCGCCGCTGCACTCCCGGCCGGACGGGCTCTCCGGCGACGTAGACCCGAGACTCGGTGCTCGATGCCTGGCCTAGGGAACTCGAAGCCAAGGAGACGACGTCGCCGACGATGACGAGCGCGGCGGTGCGCCGACTTGGCAGTTAGGTAACGTATCGGCGCTTTTTTTCGCCCGCGGAGAAAGTCAGTCTAGGCGCTCACCTCGAGCGTGAAATCGTCCCTCTCCCTCCCCCTCCTACACCGCTCCACGGGTTTAATTTACAGGTAAATAGCCTTGGAAACGGAGGCACGCACCTATGCCCCGGGAGGATTCCTACGTGTCGGAGGAGCGCCCCCTGCCAGGCGGAATGCAACAGCCGTTTCGATTCCGCCGTGCCCCGCGATACCGTATCTCCCCCCTTTCTTTTTATCTCCCCCCCACCGTCGAATTTCGATTCCAGGCCGTATTTTATCCGTGAACTCGGAATTACGAAGTGGCGAGAACAACAGAGGACGAGCCGAGTGCGCCTTCGGTCGAGACGACTCGACCTTTACCCCCCCGCCCACTCGTTCGATTACGCGAATAGAGGCGATATATCGAGCCTTCGATGATTCCCCACTAGCTCGAGGATCGACCGACCTCGAGAGAAGTCGATTGGACCTGGTCGATATTTATCCGGAATCGATCGACCCGTCCTTGACTCCACTACATGAGGTGCGACGAGACTAGTAGGGGAACGAGTGGAAATTACAAAAAAAAAAAAATATACATTGTAAATTCGGATAAAATATTCGGAGAAATTTCTAGTTGGGGGGGTAGAGGTTAACGAGCTCGAATCGGTGTCAAGGGGCGAGGATCCGAAAACTCCGCCGATCGGCGTCGATCGTCATCGATATATCTCGGGGCAAAAGTCACGGGGCTTGGCCCTGCTCGGGTAGATAACTATCGCGGGTCCTCCGACTCGAATCCAGGGGACACCCCGTGATCTTCGACGCATGTACCCGAGGTATCTCTCTCGATCTCCCTTCCCTCGTCGTCGTGCTCCCCCAAGTTTTGCATAAAAACGGAGGCGCGACTGCCGAGTGCACCTAGAGCGTCGGATAGATTCCCGAGTCGAGCGCGGGGCGTCGTTATCTGCCGTGATAACTGCAGTTATCGGGTCGCCGCGTCTCCGAGGCGGCGTCGCGACGGACGGGCGAGCGTTCGAGTCGGCTCTCGCGATTCTATCGAGGCGGCGATCCAATGTCCCGTTTAAATTCGAGGGGCATCGTTAAATGAAGGGATAAGGACCCCGAGAAAGGAGAAGGAAAAATGGCGTAGCGTTAAAAGTCTAAAGCGACGGCTAGATCGTTTCCCGAGCCGCGGGTGAAAATCCGGGACTTTCTCCGTGCGTTGACTTTCAGACTCGACGTTTCGGCATCGATCCGGAAATTCGTCGCCGGGGGGGGCGCGACGTGGGGAAAGAGAGGAGAGAGAGAGGAGCAATTCCGAGAGACCGTCGACGGTCCAGCCGATTTCGCCTCTTCAATTAAGACCCGAAGTAAATCGCCCGGGCAGGGGCCGGTCACTCGATTACCCTTTGAGAAATGATTTTCCCTCCGATGCAACGTCCCATTGATCCTTCGGCCTTCCGTCCCGACGCAACATCCTTCGAGACGGCCCCTCTCCTATCGAGAGACTCGACGCTCTCCGGTCGCCGATTACGAAACGCCGAAGAAACACCTCACGGATTGCACCTCGATGACGCGAATTACGTCCGAGGAAGCATCGCGAGAAGCGATACAGTCTGCGGGATGTTTCTCTTTTTTATTCCTATTTTTTTTTTTTTTTTTCCCCATTACACCGAGGTACTAAACTCGCAGCCTTGAGACCGCTCGGCATCCGCGAAGGACGAATCCCGAGCCCGTCGAGTGCTCCGATTTCCCAAGGACGGTTTTCCGCGGATTTCCGCGGATCTCCCCAATCCGAGGCGGAACGGAGAGGTCGAAGGTGGAAAGTGCGCCCACGGGAAGGAGGGGGACATCGCGCGATTTCCGCCGAATCCGCGGATAGTGTGCCGCGATAACGACCTTTTCTCTTTTAACCCGGGGGAGGGAAGGGGATAGTAGGGCAATCTCTTCCAAAGCGAGACGAGCGCCGAGGACGGCCGAGTTCCCCAGTGACATCGTTCGCGGAACGTCTTCCCCTCGGACGGGCGCCTCTCGCTCTCTCCTCGACGGAGTCGCTTTTTCCGCCCGAGGATCGATTCGACGAAGCCAAGGCGACGAGGCTGCACGACAGGCTTCGAGCTGCTCGGAAATCGTCGAACGAAGGGCCCACTGTCCCGACGAAGGCGACGAGGAACCTGGCCAACCGACGAAATCGATGAGAAATTGACCTTTATGTTCCCCCTACCCGAGGGCGCTATTTATAAATTCGGATCCACCCCTTATCGAGGAACCAAGCAGTGGTTCTGACAAATCGAGAGCGGGGGGTTAACCCTTCCCCTTCTTATCCATTCAATACGGTGGGCTCCCATATAACGCGAATGCCTATAATGCGTCGAAGACACCGAGACTACGGTTTCCATAAACCGCGATCGCTCCTACAATGAATAACAAAAGCGCGTTATGCGCGTTGTCCTGGAAAAAATCCCCATACGGCAGGATGT